AAGTTTTATATTGTTCTTCTTAAAGGTTGTACTTTTCTTGTTTGTATTTTCCTCAAGAATGATTGTGAATTTTATTGTTTTTGTATTTTTCTGGCAGGTAATATTATAAATAATAAACATATTTAATATGGAGAAAATGTGACATTGGAAAAAGTCTTATCATTCATTGCCACAAAACTGGATTTTCTAGAAAACAAGGTTTTGTTCAATTCAAAGATCTTTCTTGTGACAAACAAGAACAAATAATATGGCAAGCAAATTTAAAAGAAAAATATTGTTCAATAAGAATTACATGTTGTTATTATGAGTAATTCTATCGAAAATATTTTGAGAGAAAAATTACAAAGTGTTGCAATCCTTTTGGAACACACAAGGAAAGTAAAAAATTGCTATAAAAGGTAATCTAACATTAATTACAACAGAATTGATATGGAAATTTAAAAAAAAACATTTTATTATTTATAAAAAATTTATATTTTCAGTTATTTTAAAAACTTAACACTAAATTTGTTTCTTAGGTAATATAAAGATTTCCCTAGAATTGGCGAAATTTTTGTAACATAGTGTTTATGTAACCTTAGGTCGGATATTCTGAAGTAAATGTTACAAAAAAGTAGTAGAAACAGATGAAGATTTAAATTCACAGGAGGAATGGGAATCAAAAAGTAAGAAAAAAATTAAGTTAGATACCACTATAGAATTACAATCATTGCCACTAGATGATTTATTATGTGACAGCATTACCACTCATTCGTATATTGCAAAAACACAAAATTAAATCTCCCTGTGATGTTATTGGTGGGACTGTTAAGAGAGTAGTATGTCAAGAAAGTCTAAAACAAATAAATACTGGGCAGATTTTAGATGTTAATTTAATGTACTCCTTTTGTAAAGCCAAGATAAATGGAATTTGTTTAAAATATTTATTAAAGATGAAATCGACCACACACGAGCACAATTAGAAAAAAGATATTTAGGTGGAAGAACAGTTCCTGGCACAAGGATGTATCATCATTTTATTCTAATTGCTTTAAACACTATAAGTTATAAAAAAACAAGTATTGATGCTCAATTCTGAAGTTATGTTTCTACACCCACAACAATATCAGGTTGTATGTACAACATATCTGTTTTAGGTTTGCAGAATATAAGCAGTTGGTTACAAAAAAAATTAAATAAATTTAAAAAAAATTTTGTTGTAATTTTATTGACCTACTTTCTTTTTTTCAAATGTCAATGACTATATTAGTATTAATCTACTAAATAATAAAGATATTGGTTGTTGTAATATTTAAAAAAATATTTCAATATCTTTGGTTTTAAAATTTATGATTTTTAAAATCATGAAAAGAACTTAGTTTTTAGTGCTTACTTTGAAATAAGAGGTAAATAATAAAAATAAATTGTTTCTCAAACTTAAACTAAAAAAAAATTATGTTTTTAAATTGAATTTTTATACTTATTTATTATTATATCATTTTATGCATTGAAAAAAACTATATATATATATATATATATATATATATATATATATATATATATATATATATATATATATATATATATATATATATATATATATATATATATATATATATATATATATATATATATATATATATATATATATATATATATATGTTCTAGGAAGATAAGGGGAAGGGGGCAAAGTTGGTCAGAGGCCCCCTAGCCCTCCCTTGGCCCATGACTAAAACATCCTAAACTAGTCAATAAATAAGACTATTTGATGTTTTATTCAAAAAAATAAATTATGAAATTTAAATTTTTCTAAAAAGACGCAATTTATAAACGCAAAATTTGATCAAGTATTAGAGAGACAATTGATAAATCTAATTTTTTTCAGTAGACCTAAGTTAAAATAATGATACACAATTAAACTTTTTATTCAGGATTTTGGGCAACAGTCTTTATTTTACCTCCGAAAATCATAAATTTACAAGTCAATAATTTTGAACAAGTTTGGATAAATGAGGCATTTCTTGAGACAATGGAGTCTTGAGAATTTTATTTTCAGATTTCACTAGTAAGAATCTCTTGGGGTACCAAATTTTAGGATATTTCGCCAAGCTATTATGAAGATACTATATGTCAAAGTTACTTTGTAGTTGCTTCAGATAATCAATAAAATGCTGAGTCAGCATTATTTTAACTGACGATATCTCTGGAACTAATGTGTATTTTTAAATAAAATTTTTGCTGTTATAATTTTTTAAATATGGACTGCAAGTGAGGTAAAAATGAACAAAATCTGAGACGTAAGGTTGTCATGGTCTGGATGATTTCATATGGAATGACCCATTATTTATCAACTCTTTCCCTCATTTACCCTCTTTAGTTGTGACCGATATTATAGAAACATGTTAAAATTTAAATGAAAAATCTCTTTGAAAGCATAACAAACTTATTCAAAAATTAAATACTTTAAAGGAAACATATACTGAAATCATAAACAAAAATATTTATATTCTTCTTTTAAGTCTTTTACAGTGAAAAAGCTAAAACCGGTTTTTTTTAGAACTGAATTGAAAAAATTAAAAAGTTTGAATAGTCCGCAAAATATGTTTTGAAGCAAAAGCATTTTTCAAAACATGGCAATTAATAAAAAAAAATTCTGAAATGGAAAATTAAAAATAAATCCTTAAAACACAAATGAGGTTTATTACTACACCCAAAACATATAAACTACAAAATTTCTTCAGTAAGATTTTTCTTAAACATTTTTAGAGTAATTTTTTTTTTGAATTGCTAGGATGAGTTAACAAAAGTAATATTCATGAGTTAGTTTGAATTATTTTAGCCAATTAAAAGTTTATTTTGAGTTACTTCTGTTAGCCAATTAAAAATTATTTTCCATTACTTAACTGTCTTCATATCTAGATTACTAATTTAAACAGATTGGTCTATACAATTACAATCTTTTGTACTGATGAGTAGTTTTGGACTTTTCTCTGATTCCTCCACCGTGAAAAGATACTGCAACACCTTTTTTGAAATAGCTACGTTTTTTTATCTTTTTTATCTTACCACCGAATGAGAAGAATTCCAGATTCACTGTGAAAAACCTTTGTTTGTTAGAAGAATTCCAGATTCACTGTGAAAAACCTTTGTTTGTTAGAAGAATTTCAGATTCACTGCGAAAAACCTTTGTTTGTTAGAAGAATTCCAGATTCACTGTGAAAAACCTTTGTTTGTTAGAAGAATTCCAGATTCACTGCGAAAAACCTTTGTTTGTAAATATATCATTCTACAACCTTTTTTCGAATTGATATCATCTGGAAAATTGATAAATATTTTGGTGTGTTTCACTTGCGAGTGGATCATTCCTTTTGTAGTGTTCAATCATTCATGTTTTTAAGTGGCGAGAAGACACAAATGATTGAACACTACAGAAGGGATAAAAACTCTCTTATTTATAAGCATCTTCACTCAAATAAAAAATGTTTTACTAATTATAATGATGAATGTTTTCGACTTTGAATCGTGCCTATAACAAAATTGAAAGAAAGTATTCATATAGGGTGGGAAAAACCTGACATGAATAAACAAGTAAATTATGTTAAATTATGTTAAATTGACTCTTACCATTTAATATAATTTATCGGTTCTTTTTTATATTTAACATTTGTTAAAATATTTTTTAATAATTTTTTTTTGTATATATAGGAAGTTTGTTATTGTTTTTATGACTTTTATTATGTTTATTTTTACATCTATATACTATATTTTGAACCCTTTTTAACAGATATATTTTAACTGATAATGATTATATATAGTCGAAACATGTCTTGAATAATAAATTTTTTAAAATAAAATTAAAAAAGTTGTCTTATTTTCATAATTTGTGCTGAGAAGTTTTAGAAATTTATATATATATATATATATATATATATATATATATATATATATATATATATATATATATATATATATATATATATATATATATATATATATATATATATATATATAATCTTTGAATGTCATTTTCTTGTTATACATTAAAATATATATATATATATATTTATATATATTTATATTTATAAAAGTATATATAGATATATATATATATATATATATATATATATATAATATATATATATATATATATATATATATATATATATATATATATATATATATATATATAGATATATATATATATATATATATATATATATATATATATATAGATATATATATATATATATATATATATATATATATATATATATATATATATATATATATATATATATATATAGATATATATATATATATATATATATATATATATATATATATATATATATATAATCTTTGAATGTCATTTTCTTGTTATACGTTAAAATATATATATATATATTTATATATATTTATATTTATTTATATATATAAATATATATAAATATATATAATATATATTTATATATATATATATATATATATATATATATATATATATATATATATATATATATATATATATATATATATATATATATATATATATAAAATATATATATATATATATATATATATATATATATATATATATATATATATATATATATATAGATATATAGATATATAGATATATAGATATATATATATATATATATATATATATATATATATATATATATATATATATATATATATATATATATATATATATATATATATAGTGTGTGTGCATATATATATATGTACATATATATGCATATATATAGATCTAACATATGTATACACCTAATGTAAATATATACATATATATTAGGTGTATTGGATTATATAATATATATATGTGTGTGTGTGTGTATATATATGTGTCTATATATATATACATACACACATATATTGTATATGTGTATGTATATGTCACATATACATACACATATACAATATATGTGTGTATGTATATATATATATATATATATATATATATATATATATATATATATATATATATATATATATATATATATATATATATATATATATATATATATATATATATATATATATGTATATATATATATATATATATATATATATATATATATATATATATATATATATATGTAAACACGCAGAAACATAAATAAGTTTAAATGGTCAAAACACTCTTAGTTATGTAGAATGGATGAGAAAAAATTTGAAATATGGCTAAAGATTCTCGAAAAATGGGTTGGTCAGATTGCATATAGCTCTAATTCATTAATTTTCTCTGTTGGAAATCAAGCTTCCATCATGAATAGTTTAAAACAACATGAACAAGATTTATCTGAATTTTTTGTGTTATTAAATAATTGGCTGCTAAGTCAGGTTATAGTTTTTTTAGTATAATTTTTTTGTATTGAATACAATGCATTATTACATTTTTATTAGATACAATGAATTGCAATATTTTCCAGTTAATTCTAAAACCTTATCAAGATTTAAACTTGATACAGCTTTTCCATATAATATTGTATCTGCTTTTAACACTTCTGTAAATTACTTAGAAGGTAAAAAGCATACTTTTTTTTGTTTTGGATTTTTCTCAAATACAGTGGGGTGCAGAATTTTAACCTCACCTGGTTCATAATTTACATGAACCTATTTATACTTTAATTAACTCAAATTATAAAACCGTTAAAAACTGTGGTGTAATTATAACCTCGTTATCTAAATTGCATCAAAAGTAATCAAAAATAGCAGAAATACCGTTTTCAAATTAAATTTATTACATTTTAAAATTATAAAAAACATTCTAACGAATGCCAAGAGGAATTACACTCTCTAATGAAGAAAAAGGCAAGATCAAAGCCTATATCGAACAGGGCAATTGCTTGCAAACTGAGACGCTCACCACCTTTGATCTATAATTACATAAATGGTCCAACATTTTATTGCACAAAGCAATAAAGTGGTGGAAAACCTATACTTACAGCTCACCAACAGCGATGAATTTTGCATGCCGCTAATAACCATACAATCTCTGCGAAACAAATGGGTGCTGATTTGGAATTGAAATGCTCAAGATGGGCGGTGAATCGTGTAATTAACAAGTCAGACGTTCTTAGATATGCACAAAAACATACATCTCCAGCACTAACTGAAGCGCACAAATCATTCGTCTTCAATTGGTTAAGGACCACATGACTTGGGAAAAATAATGACAAAAAATTGTGTGGTTCGATGAAAAAAAGTTCAATCTTGATGGTCCAGATGGCTTCAATTACTACTGGCATAACGTTAGAAAAGAGAAAATATTTTCAAAAAGAAAGGCTATAGGAGGCGGAGGAGTAATAAATTGGGGTGAATTCGGTTATTTTGAAAAATCTTTGATTGGCTTTTTTACTACAAAATTAAAGCTGAAGGATATAGAAATGTGTTGAATGGTCATTTGAATGATATTTCGCAAAAATGGGGCATCTTAGCAAGACATGTTTATGCAGAAGAGAATCAATATTTGAATGTTGATAAATTGAAAAAGGCAATTGTACATGTTTGTAAGAACATATCTCTAACAGATCTTAGAAAACATTTGGAAAGTATACCAAATTGAATATTTGAAGTTATTCAGAATGAGGCAATAAAACAAAGTATTAATAATAAATTCAAATTGCAATACAAAACATTATGGAATTTTGTAGAGTAAAATTGAAATGAGGTTATAATTTTGCACCATCTTTTTTCTAAAATTTTCAAGTCAATTATATTAGATTAATATTACAATTATATTAATTAATATTACAAATGAAATATTAATCAAGTAAGATATTAAGCAATTGAATAATTTAAAAATATTAATTTAATTATTTGTGAGATCTTGAATTTTTGTGAGATTATAAATTTGCACCGCACTGTAGGTATTTTTCTGACTTAAGCTCTAACTTCAACAATATATTTCAAAAATTAATTTTGCTTTGAAATTTTCATTGCATGTTTAAATAATATATATATCTTGGTCATTTACCAAAATCAATATTTTGAGAAGTTACGGCCACAAAACTCAAAGAAACTCCCCTCTTTTATGACCAAAAAACTATTTTCACCAAAAAAAAGTTGTTTATAAAATATTGTTAAAAGATATTTTAATGATTCTGGTACATGTTTTTAACCTATTAGCAAGGAGTATTTGGGCCAAATTTAAAAGATTATTTTTAAGTTGTTTTTAATTTATTAGGTTTAGAAAGAATTATGAAATTCCATCAAATTTAGGTAAATATTGTTATAAAAAGGAACCACCTTTTTTCAAACTGAATCTACACAAATTCTTTTAGTTAAATCAATTTACTCTTTTTCCTGGAAGTTTTTTTTACTTTTTTATTAGCAAAATAAACAAATTCCTTCTTCTATTTTCTGAATAGAGTCTTGCTTTTTTTTTTTTTTAAAAAAAAAAAAAAAAAAAGCTAACAAAGAAATGGAAAAAAAAAAAAAAAATTGAGTATAACAAATTACAATTGTGACAATAATTTACAATAATTCAATTTACTTTTTAATTAAAAATATAATATTCAACATATTTTTTGTAATCTCTCTTTTTCTTCTACTTACACACACATCTATTGTAATATATTTCATAATATTATTTATATTTTTATATCAATTTTTAATTTTATATTTTTTTAGTATATAAATAATGCAGATTATCACATAAACAAATATTTTTAAACAACCATTAAAACATTTAACTATTTCACAACTATTAGCTAACTAAAAACAAATTAATAATAGCATTAACCTAACTACTAAACAAAATCTGTCCCGTTATTATCTAAAATATAAATATAAACCGGTAAGTCCACTAAACATATAGCAAAATTAAATTTTTACTACTTGTCTGAAGATTGTGATTTCTCTCCATTTGATATCCAACATAAACATTTTCGAAGAATTTTTTTTTTTTGATAATATTAGTAACTTGTTAGATGTTCAAGGGTCTTGAGGGACCCCTAAAAATATTTTTTAATCAAAAATTTTTTAAATCCAGTGTTTTTTATCATATAGAACATATTAAGGGGGTGGCAGCATATAGTTTTTAAAAAATGTTGTTTTTTGGGACACCTTAGTATATATATAGATATATTAGGGTATATTGTATATGTATTGTGCAGCAGTGATGTAGAGAGCTTGTCTCAAAAGCAAAAAGTTTTTAATTCAATCCCTACCATGTTCCTGATAATACTGCGCTCAACTTGTTTCTCCGCCAAGCAGCCTTTTTTGTCAAGGTTTGTGTTTCAGAGTTATAGAGTAAAGAGAGGGTTAGTTGTAACCACAACTAATTGTAGCCTCTAAAGTAAATATAGCAACTAAATGTAGCAACTAAATGTATATATATAACTAAATATATATATATATATATATATATATATATATATATATATATATATATATATATATATATATATATATATATATATATATATATATATGTATGTATGTATGTATATATATATATATATACACACACACACATATATATATATATACACACACACACACAAAAGATAAATTAAAGATAATTTTATCAATATATCAACATATAGGCATCAATTAATATTACACGCTTAACACTTATTGCAAGATTTGTTTCATTGTGCTGCAAGATACCTGTGATTCTTTCAAAAGGTGAGGTTGTTTTCAAAAGGTGAGGTTGTTAGTATTTTATTGTTTATGTTAGATTATTATTATTTAAACATTTTGATTTTTTAAGATATATTACTCAATGGCTTATTGGATGTGATGGTTACTCTGTCTTTTTGCTCTCGGTCAATCTGTTCAGTTGAAAAGAAAAAATTATGCAATTATATTACAGTAATTTTTTAAATTATACAATTAATTACAGTCATTTTTTAAATTATGCAATTATGTCACATTTATTTTAATTAATGTTTAGATTTAAAAAATTACATTTTAAAAATTCAGTATAGTAATGTTTTTATTTTGGTATTCGTTTTCAAAAAATACAGTTTTTATATAAAATTGTATTTATAACTTTACATTATTTTACATATTAATTCTCCTAAGGTTTTTATAAATATAAAACTATAAACATTACTATATATAAATATTTTGTATTTAAACATTACTATATATGAGTTATGCCATATATAAGCATTATTACACTGTAAAACTTTAAATTATGGTACTATGCTGTTACCCATAAGTGCCATAGTACATTACAGTAAAATTACAGTAAAAGACAGGTGTTTCACAGTGGAGTATTATTGTATAATATATAGTTGTGAATATATTTAGTATATATATTTTAACAATTTTTTAGGGTTTATTTTATAAATCTATTATACAGGATGTAACATTGAAACAATATTTATATATTTTTAATTATGTAACAAAAACTGAAAAAAAAAAAATTAATTGGTAAATGATGTCTATTTAGCCATGAACTTAAAATAAGAAATTAAAATATATTGAAATATTATTTCAAATAAGAATCAATTACAGATTTTCAGAGGTTAGTGTTAAGATCAAATGTTAAAAAATGGCAACGTGGTTTACTAATGTTATTAAAACTTATTTTAAAATTTCATTGTAGTTCACTTTCAAATAAGTACCTGGTGCAAATTAGTGTTTACAGCCAAGATATTATAATTTCAACAGTGAATATAATAACAATGTGAATATAACAACAGTATTACAATATATATATATACATATATATATACATATATATATATATATATATATATATATATATATATATATATATATATATATATATATATATATATATATATATACATGTAAAAGTGTTTGAGGTCGGCAAAAAATTGCCGACCTCATTTCAATGCTTTTTGCTGACCTGATGCCGGCCTCTAAAAGATTGAGGTCGGCAATTTATTGCCGACCTCAATTTTTCTAATTCTGAGGGTTGATATATATATATATATATATATATATATATATATATATATATATATATATATATATATATATATATATATATATATATATATATATATATATATATATATATATATTTTAAAATAAAAATATTAAATATGTATATAATTATTTTTTTCTGTTTTTTATAAAATAATGATTGTTTTTGCAATTTCTATAAATTTCGCTTCTTTGAGACCCCTTCATGGCATACTTTTAAAAAAAAATTTTCGGCATTTAGAGTCAGGTTATTTTAAGAATTAAAAGAAATTTTTTTAAATTGAATCGAATTAAATGATCACAATATGAATTTATTATAAAATAATAATAAAAATTGTAACTTAAAGTATTGATAGGAAAACAAGTGTCCATATGTACCAAAAAAATGTGGCCGAAATAAACAAACCACAACAACAAAATTAAGAAACCATAATAGAAAATAAAATTTCGGAATTCACTTCTGAATAGTATTTTTTGGCACATTTTTCAGTTTTTTGTTATATATTTTTTTTTCAGCTGGTCCAAATCTTTCATTTCAATTTTATTAAGATTGTGGTCTAACCAAGACCACAAATTATCAATGCAATTGAGATTTGTACTATTGGCAGGATAAGACATGAGTTTAATGTTATTTTCTTCAAACCATTGCTTGAAAATCTCAGCAGTAATACATGGAGCATTATCTTTTTGAATGATAGGTCAAATTTCTTTTAGGAAAATGTTAATGCATTAAATAATTATCCAATATGTTTAAATATCTTTGAGAATCAAGACTTCATAGTTCATGCCTATACTGGCAATAGATGCCTATACTGCCAATACCTTGTTTTGTTCTATTCATATATCAATTCATTGATACATGAATATAAATCAAAAATTTTTCATGTGTTATTACTCAGTTTAGTCTTAAATCAACCTTGACGTCTATTTTTTGGTGTAAAGAGCCTTATGCTCGAAGACTAAATTTTAAGAGCATATAACACCATTTTTTTCTTGCTTGATGCTCTGATATTTTTTCGATAGGTGCAGTTTTTTGCAAACAGCACTAGCAACAACACTAGAAGTTTCTTTTGACTGAAATCAGTAGGTGATAACTTTTTTTCACTATGCGAATAAGTGAGTGCTCCTTTTTTTCAATCGAAATGTTGATTATTCTAGGATGCGGAAGATTTTCAATTGTATTGTATTTGTGATATCAGTTGATTTTTCTGCTTGCATGTGATGTGTTTAAATATTTTGGAATTTCTCTCATTGAGATGTTTTGTTTATTGATTGCTATGGTTTTACACTTTGTTATTGTATCAATAGTTTTTCCAGTCATTTTAATTGTTTTGTTGAAATGTTATAGTTACTGTTATAGATACTAAATTTTATATTTAACAAATCACACCAATTTTTTGAATGTTTAAAACAATTTAAGTTCTCAAATAATTATTTATAATTTGCAAACAATTTTTAATTATTTGCAAATAAATTTTACTCAAGACGAGTTATAAATATTTTAGATTATCAGATATGTGTCAAAAAAAAACAAGATAATTAGTGCATCGATTTTTAGGAATATCTATATTTTTATGAATACCTATATTTTTATAAATACCTATATTTTTATAAATACCTATATTTTTATAAATACCTATATTTTTATAAATACCTAAATTTTTATAAATACCTATTTTTTTATAAATACCTATATTTTTATAAATACCTATATTTTTATAAATACCTATATAAAACATATGTTATAGTATAAAAAAAGATAACATGTTTTTATAACATGTTTTTGTACTTAAAAAATTGTTTTATAATAAGCTAATTTTTTGTTTGTTATAACCAAGTTGTTTATAAACAATTCTTATATCTTTTAATATTTTCTAAAAAAAAATTTATTTAGCATAAACTTCGTTCATTAATTAGTTTTAAAGTTGAAGAAGTTGGTTGTTTTTTATTAGAAGAGTTTGGAATCAGTCGGGAAGAATATTTTAAAGAACATTTTTTTCAAGTAAACTTAATTTTACATTAAATAATGTATATATAAGTATTTAAAAACTCATATTTATCAAAATTTTTTTAAAAATCTCTTAGTACAAAAACTCGTATTTTATCAAATTTATATTCATGGTTTATCTTTTTTTGACTGTTAAGTTTAACTTTTTGACTAAAGCTTTTTACTATCTTTTTATACTAAAGATGTAATAAACTTTTTTTTTTAAGGTTTTATGTTGTTATGTGTTAATTATGTTCTTATGTAGTAATTATTTTGTTATGTGGTTATAAGGCAGTGATAGAGTGTTTTGCTTGGTAAATAAGAAATTCCAGGTTCAATTCTCACTATGTCCCATGTATTGTTCATTGTTTGTTGATGTTTGTGTTTCCAAGTGAAAGGATTGAGAGAGAGACTAATTTTATAAAAGTTTCCACGACTGTAGTGACCCCTTGATCTTGTAGCTAATAACTTGTAGTTTTATAAGTTTTAAATTTAGTATCAAAATTTTTTATATAGTTTGTTTTTTTCTAGCATATAAAAGAATATTTCAAATAAATTTAATAATTTCACATAAATTAAGTTGTTTCTTAATATTATGTTAGATATCAAAAGAATTCGCCAATGTTTTATGTAAAAACAAAAATGAATCTGAAGAAGAAACAGAAACAAGCATAGGCATTCTAACAATGCGTAAAGTTTTTGATGACGATCTGTTTGTTATAGTTCTAGAAGCTATTCTTGCTAATCTTAAAGATTTAGAGATTCCAAAGATCAATGAAAATATTTGTGCACTTCCTCAATTACTTTTTTGTCAAATGTCTTTACCTGCTTTAAAGACTTATTATGATATTAATTATTCTGCTTTTGAGAAATGTACAGGGAATCTTATTGAAAAATGTATCTTAATATATCCATGGGCTGATTCAAATGAAATTTTAGAATGTTTAAAAAAGTCACGTTTATTAGAACTTTCTCTTCTGGATGGTAAATATGCATATGGTGTTAAGCTTATGTTAAAAAATGTTCTTTATGAAATTGGTATGCATCCATCATTGGTTACACTCTTGCAAATTATGGTTTTACAAATTGGAGAAACATTTTGCTTAGGATGTGAAATCTGTAATATGATCAAGACTATGAGTTTACAGGGTAATATTTCATTGTTAGTAATATTTTTTGTTTATTTTTTTAAATGTAAATCTTATTAAAGACATTTTTCTGTGTTTTTTTAGGTCTTTATGCTTTCTAATAAATTAAAAAAGCTGTTTCTTTATGCTTAGATTTTGAATAATTTTAAAAGCTGTATTTTTATGTTTAGATTTTTAATAAATTAAAAAAACTGTGTTTTTGTGTTTAGATTTCTAATAAATTAAAAAAACTGTGTTTTTCTAAATAAGATTGAATAGGAGACTTTCAAGCAAACAAATCAGAACACACAGACACACACACACAAAATGCATAATGAATTAACTCACACAATATGTATAATAATACACATACTAAAATATAATATATATAATTTTTATCTTTATGGAAAAAATTAATTTGATATTTTGAGTGGAAGATGACACAGCAAACCTCATTCAGTCTTCAGCAAGTTCAATAGCTTTGTGTATAAGCTTCAGCAAGTTGACTCAATAGCTTTATGTATAAGCTTCAGTAAGTTGAATCAATAGCTTTGTGTATAAGCTTAGTCAAACATTTTTTCGGCTTTTTTTTTTTTTTTGAGCCACATTAACTCAACAAAGTTGCTTAATCATTTAGCATACCAGTAGCAACTCTTTTCAAGCATCTCTGTAGCATAGATAAAACATTTGGCAGCAAGATTGCTAAAACAACATGGATCAACTCTGGTAGATAAGCGCATCAGATCATCTTGTTTGGTATATTTTGCACGTTATCACACTAGTTATTGACTAAAGATCAAAGTTATGATGTCATCAAAGTTGTGCTGTCATCAAAGTTGTGTCATCAAAGTTGACAACACCAATCAATCTCATCTATTTTCCAATTGTACACAAGGAAAAGATCGGTACACACTTTTTATCAAAAAAAAAGTTGAGCTTCAGAGATGTAATATTTCATTACTCAGAGCCACTGCTTGCACCCACTGCTTGCACCCACTGCTTGCACCCAAATAGTTTTAGCAAAGTATTGTTATATAACTCAATGCTTGCAAAGTATTTTAACACACTGTAAAGCAAATTTGATGAAGTAGGTATTAATAAAAATATTTCATACTATTTGTAGAATTTTGATGAAGTTGGCTTTTCTGGTTATCAATGCAAACAACGCATAGTTTATGGGTAACCAAGGCAAAAAACACATAACTTATTGGAGATCAAGGAAAACGACACATAATTTTCAGGTCATTAAAACAAACAACAGTTTACAGGTGCTAAACAATCAAGCATCTGCACAAACATATCTCAACCTGAGTCTCCATCATCTCAAGCACCATAATCTATGCAAGTACCACCAGCACTAATAGCCAGTACCACCAGAACTAGTAACTGCACCATCTTAACCACTACCTTCTAGCTACACTAACAACATCTAGCATCATGTGTCATATAGCATTATCTTTTTATTAAGTGTTTTTTTAATTACCGTTGGTTTTATTTTTCCGAAATGTAAAGGTAGAATAATTTTTTTTTGTATTTTAAATTTTTTGAAAATTAAAAGAAAAAAAATATTTGATTTTTATATATTTAAATACAACTCTACAACTTAAAAACAAGCAAAAAAAAAATTCCTGTAAAAACCTAACTTTTTTAACTATTTTAACTATTTCATTTTATTTTGTGTTATAAAATAATTCTTTTAGTTCAGTGAATTATTTTTTTGAGTTATTTTAAAACTTACTGTGTAATGTCGTTTAACTTTTGAAAATTTCTGTTTTTTAAAAAAATTATAAAAAGTTAAAAAAAAAAATTTTTTTATAAAAATTTTGATCAATGTTTTTAAATAAAATTTTAATATTTATATGATAAATATCTTTTGCTTTTTTTTTTAAAAGATCAATGCAATAATCTCATTGGTTTTGGTTTATTTATCAAGGAACATTCTGCAAAACTCAAACAAAAAAAGTAAAATTTAAAGATTTAAATGTGTTTATTCTAAATATTTTTATAGTTTCTTAATAATTGTTTAAATATATAAAAATTGTATTTGTAGATAAAAAAAATAAATTAATTGTTATGAAATTAATGGTATTAAATAAATAAAAGATTTTAAAATAAAAGTATAAATAATTTTGTGTAAAATAATTTTTTGTGGCCCTCCACAACCAGATCTTTTTTTTTTTCACTTGAGATTTTTTCATGTTTATACTTGATTAGAATTTATTTATTTATTTCGAGCTAAGATAGTTTTTTATATTTGTTGTGTTGTAATAAGAACAAATTTTTTTTCAACTTTATTGTAATATTTTTTTTAGTAAATAGTTTAGACAATATGTGTGATAAAAAATAAAATTAAAATATTTTGGGGTGTGTAAATTCATTCATGTTATTTGTTCTTGAAACTTTTTTTTTTTTGTAAAAAAAGAGTACTTTGTTTAATATTCAAAGTCTTTTCTGTCAATAGTTTCTTCTTTTTCTCTTTTTCTGACAGAAAACAGATTCCATGACAAAATATTTTTTTTGAGGTAATGCATATTACATATCAATATATCAACCTAATTTTTTCATTGGTTGTATGAAGTAAAGTGCTTTTCAGCTAGGATATGTGTCATTAATTAGAAGAGGTGTTAGATCAATAAAACATGTGTGGAATGTATGGCAGATGGAGTATTTCTCAATTAAGTGTTTCAGATTTTGTTTTTACAATTTAAGCTACATTTCAAACTCTTGGCAATGAAAGTTTCTCTATACCTAAATTTTAATGCGGTAGTGGTGTAGTGGTAGAGCGCTCACTTCATAAACGAGTGGTTCCGAGTTCGATCCCCACCACGTCCCTGGTAGTACCGCGCTCAACTCGTTTCTCCGCGCAGCGGCCTTGCTCGTCAAGGTTCGTGTTTCGGAGTTATAGAGTTGAGAGAGGGTTATAACCACAAATAAGTAGCCTCCTCATCTGTAGTGGCCTTCTCGGCCTTGAGGAGGTGAATTAAAATTAAAAAAAAAAAAATTACTACTTTGCTGTCTTTTTGTAACTGCAACTGCAACCAACATTATAATTTTTTACTTAAATAAAAAAATGCTGCTGTTTATATGATGTATATCAGCAATACTGTAATATATATCAGCAATGAAAAACGAAATTAAAAATTTGAAATAATTATAGCAAAAAAAATTTTAACTCAATATAAAAAGAAATTTGACATTTTACATTCTTGAGAAAATTAATTTATAAACTTTGTGGTTTAAAACTAAAAGTAAAAATGAAAAGGTTAAAACAAAAACTCACAGTAAAATAAACCACAAGAAAAAAATATTCACGTTACCAAAAGAAAGACTAACACAAGATTTCAATAACCAATTCAAATAACCTTTAATTATTTTTAAAACAATTTAATGCATGAAATAAGGGCATCGACCTAAAAAAACTCAGTTAATTAAATTACCTATGACTTAAATTGCATTTAAATAAACTACTGAATAATTAATAGTTGTCTGAAATTATTTTTTTTTTCAGTAAGGTTTGATGATATTTTTCTTCAAAAACAACGACAGAATTGAGAACTTTCTGTTTATAGACAGAATTGAGAACTTTCTGTTTATAGACAAAGCTTTTATAGCAACTGGTGAAATTTTCTCTGCTTTTAAAAAGAGTTTAATCATGATTTTTATTTATCATTTTTTTGTTTATAATTTGGTTCAAGAGAACTAAATTTGGTTCATGTGAACAGCATTTCAAGGATTATTATAGGAGTACTTTATTAATTATCTATTAGCCTTTTCAGTTGTAACTTTAAGTCTTCCATAGTGAAGCTTGCTTTTAATTGTTTTTCCCTAATGTTATAATCTAACAATGTGATTTATTCCTGATTTAGAGATATTGTAAAGTTTCTAAATTATTCTGTATTTTTTTTTTTTTTCTTTTTTCTTCTTCTCTCTCTCTACAGCTTTTGTAATTAATTTCCTTATTTCATTTGAAATTTCTTTTACAATGCTTTTAAAATAACCATTTTGTAAGGATTATAATTTTTTTTTTTTTTTCTTTTTTCTTTTGATGATATTTTTCTTAAAGAACTTTCAATTATGTCATGAAGTGACAGTATTGAAAGAAAACTTTCTTAAAGTTGAAGAGAACTTTCTTAAAGTTCTTTTTTAAAATTCAAAAAAAAAGTTTTTTAAGCTATTTTACAAACAATAAGATTAAAATTGTTTGGTAGAGTAAGTTAATTGTTTGGTAAAATAAGTTTCTTTGTTCAGAAAATAGACTGCTTTTCAATTTGACTTATTTAGTTTTGTGTTTGAGGTTTGGTTTCATTTACTTTTGAAAAAAGACCTAATTGATAAATTGATTGTGGTTGCTTGCAATGAATCTATGGTAAATTTATTTTTATAAAATATTTTTTAACTTTAATCTCAATTTGTTATTTACATTATAAGTTTTGTTGTTCTTACTTATTACTTGTCAAAACACAAACTGTTAATTATGAAAATTATGTTATCAGACTTTTAAAAGAAAATTATCTTATCAGACTTATCAAGTTATATGTTTAATAGTTAGTGTGTGAATGTAAAATATATTGTATGTTATTTTATTTTTATTATAGATTGTAATTTTTAGATGTTATGAGTTTGTAAATTTGAAGACATTTTTGTTTAATTCAGAATTCTTCAAACATTTTGAGAATATTGCTTTGGTATTTTATTCCTACGCACCAGGAAGTCATGGAAGCAACTGTAGTAAGTATTTTTTTTCTCAGTTAGAAACCATGGAAACCAATATAGTAAGAACTCTTTTTCAAATGAAACAATGGAAACAACTGTAGCACATATTATTGAATATTTTTAATTTGTTCAATTTTTTTTTTAATTGCATCAAAACATTTGTTTTCTGTTGTTTGTTTTTTTACAAAAAATTGTTTTGAAGCCTGCAAAAACTTTTAAATGTTTCTTATCAGATAAAATAAAAAATTATTTATTGCAACTATTATAACAATGATAGGTTGTAAGAATTTTTGTATATTTTCAAATACAAAGCTTCTCAAACTATGGGTCGTGACTCCAAATTGGATTGTTCAACAAAATATTGGGGTTGCAAGATTTAAATGTAAAATATTTAAATGCATGATCTTGTATAATTGTATATTTTTTTATTTGTATCTATATTGTTACCTAATCAATAAATAATCACAAAATATTTAATATTTTTATTTTATACTTATTTTGGATTGCGAAAAAACTTCCAATCATAAATGGAGACTAATTTGAAACAAATATAAATTCTCTAATTAATAATTTAATATTTTTTTTATGAGAAGTTATGTGTAAAGTATTTGTTACTGCCTTTTTTATCATGTGTAATTTCAATAGATGTAATAAAAATAGTTTTATTGTTTACCCATATGTCATCTCAATATATGTAATAAAAATTTCTATTTATTAATTTATTTATTTTGTTTCAGTAGATAAATATGTAATAAGCTTGATATTTTCTTTTAATTTTTATATATTGTTTTATTTTTTAATTTTTATATATTGTTTTATTTTTTAATTTTTATGTATTGTTTTATTTTGTTTTAGTGTGGAATGGTTAGCTACATTACAAAACTTCAGTTACTGTTAAAAAAAATATATTTAAGCTCAAGTGAATTTATTAATTTATTTTTACCAGTTATATCTGATAATGAAAACATACCAAAATTCATTCTGTTTATTTTCTTCTTCATAACTTTGTCATTGTCAAATGCAGATCTTGCTTTTACGCTGGAAAACTATAAATTGGTAAAATATTTTTTTCACACTTATAATTAAATATTTATAATTACTTAATTTAATTTACTTTTGCTTCAAGTTTTTCAAATGAGATGACTTAATATATGACTAACATTGTAGGATAAAATTAGATAGAACACAATAAGTGAGTATAATATTAAACTCACTTGTTGTGAGTTAAACTGAGTGATACTTTCATACTTTGATTTTGATTTGTCAATCATTGGTGTTATGAACTTTATTGTTGAACATTTTTGTTGCTAAAACTTTATAATTTCTGTTTAATTTTATTTAGAAGTTGTTAAATAATGTTGTTGTTGCTCTATTGTTGCATCAATTTTATTTAGAAGTAATAAATATTGTTGTTGTTGCATAAAATATTAACTAATTTTGTCAAATTTCCACTGAAAGATTTATCATATTTCAATCAACAGTACTTTAGGGCTTCCACTTACAACACCATTATGATTCCACTGACAACACTTTTATGTTTTTACTGCTAAGTAAAGAATGAATATAGGTATTTTAAATAAAACTCTAATAAAACAAATAATAGGTGTTTTAAATAAAACTCGAATACAACAAGAATTTTAGTTTAATAATTTGATGATAGTAAAAAACATACGTTACAAATGTTTTAATTATTTTTTTAATTTATTTTTCTAAAAAATATTTAAATATATTATATATATAGAGATATTTTTATATCTCTATAAGTAGCTATCTAACAAATATTTTCTCTCTTTTTAAATGTTTTTATATGAACTCAATTTTTAAAAGTTGTTGTAAATGTTTGAAAAATTGCTTTTGAAAAACTGTTCCAATTTTAAATTATAAATCGTTCAATTTAAAGTTTAAGTTGGCACTACATGGCCTACTTTATACACGGCCGGATATGTTGCATAAATAGGCCGAAAATTAGAAGGCCAGTTTTTCAATATTACAAGTTTTCGGGATTTAAGTTTAAATAGGGTTTAAATATAATTAAATTGCTAGGTTTTTTAATTTAAGTTGATAAATATATTATTATTATTTAAATTAAATAGATTTATATAGTAATGTATCTTTTCATATTAGTTTTTCCTTATTTAAAAACGCTTAGGTTGATTTTATTAATAACATCTAGTAGTTTTTTTTTAAATTTGTTTATTTGATTTTCGTACTTCAAATAATTTTTTCTTTTGAACAACTTAATATTTTAAATATAAAATTAGGAATATGACTATTTTTGTACATATTTTTTTACCGTAGAGATTTCAGGCAAAAATCAAAAAATACTGATAGCAAGTTTCATCAAGATTTCATAAACAAAATATATCTATTTATATATCTACATACCTGTATATCTATCTATCTATATATATATATATATATATATATATATATATATATATATATATATATATATATATATATATATATATATATATATATATATATATATATATATATATATATCACATATATAAACAAATATTTATATATATATATATATATATATGTATTTATATATATATATGTATATATATATATATATATATATATATATATATATATATATATATTTGTATGTATATATATATGTATATATTTATATAAATATATGTGTATATACCTGAATATATGTGTATATATGTGAAATATATATATATAATATAATATAATATATGTAAGAAAAGAAAAAATATATAGTTTATGTGTGTATATATATATATAATAAATATAAATGTATATATATATGTATATACATATATATATATATATATATATATATATATATATATATATATATATATATATATATATATATATATATATATATATATATATATATATATATATATATATATATATATATATGTATATATATATATATGAATATATATATATATATATATATATATATATATATATGTATATATATATATATATATGAGTATATATGTGTGTATATATATATATATATATATATATATATATATATATATATATATATATATATATATATATATATATATATATATGTATATATATATATATGAATATATATGTGTGTGTATATATATATATATATATATATATATATATATATATATATATATATATATATATATACACACACTTACTAAAGCATGTTTTGATAAGCATTTGCTCACTTTTTGTGCTTACTTTAAGGTATACCGTTTTTTTTTGAAAAAGAAGAAGAAAAAAAACAAAGAATGATGAATAAAACGATTGCTTCCCCATCCCAAACCCTCAGTCGATGTAGCAGCACTCCACTGCGAGTCAGGCTATTTGTCAGTTGATGTATGTACTGAAGGCCCCAGCAGCCGGCTATTTCAGTATGACGTCAGATTGCTTACCAAAGAACACAATACTATTTGTATACATATATATATATATATATATATATATATATATATATATATATATATATATATATATATCAGACTTTCCCAGGAAAGGCGTGCGGTCGCACGCCTTGTTTTTCCACGCATAGAATAAGTTTTTCAGAAAATGTGACCGCGCCAATATTTCGTGGGAAAGCGAAACTTATCCACAGAGAATAAAAAATAATATTAAAAAAAGGAAACAAAGTCTAAACAAAGTATAAAATTGAAATTGAATGTAAGAAAAATATTTTAATAATAAAAAAAAAATTCTTGTAACAAAAAAAAAAAAGTCTTGAACATTTTTTGCAAAATTTTTATAGTTTTTTTTTTTTTTTTTTTTTAGGGTTGCTATTTTCAGCTACAAAATTTGATACAAGTCAAGGAAAAGACAACTATAAGTCATTAAGTTTTCATGAAAATAAAAAAACTTGATACGTAATTTATTCACGAACTTTATCAGACAACGTATTAAAAAACTGATTCATTATTTACGCTAGACAAATTTAGTTAAATTTTTTCATTTAATTTAGTTTTTACAAAGGTAAAAGGCAAAGGCGATGACGTTATTCCTTAATACTTAGACAAGAAAATAAATTGCTGTTTTTATTATTAAATATATTATTTGAGATTTTAAACATAACAAAATTTTAATGTGAAAAAAGCTCTCTCGACTTATTCTAAACTGATTATACTGAGTCAATGCTCGCCTTTTATTACGTTGAAATTATTCAATTGCATAATTTTGTAATTACAAAAGAAGTTAAAAAAATAACTGCATTGCTTCTGTTGTCATTGTTACGAAAACAGTTCCTTCGGGACATTATTATATATTAACACTTGTTAACAATGTCAATTAATGATTGCAAAATAAAATAAACTCAATCTTTTGACAATAAAATTTTCTTTAAATTGAAAATAAAAAAAAACATATTTTACAAATAAATAGCAATTGTTTTCGCGCTTTCTTGCGTATCAATACATTTAAACATTTAAATGTATTTACGAAACATTTAAAAATTGTTTATAGTTCTATCGTGAATTTTAAAGTATTACTGACTGATAAAAGTCATAAACAAATTTTACATTAAAAATTTTATTTTTATTAAACTATAACCTTTTTTTTTTTGATTTTATTTTTCTTATTGATTTGATTTTTCATAGCTAAAATAAAATTCACTCACATCTCATCTTGAGTCAAATAAACTGCTGTCAGACAATCAATACGGTTTTCGATCCTCTCGCTCTACGGCCGACTTGCTGACTGCTGTAACTGAAAGATTTTATCGTGCATTAGATGGAGGCGGTGAGGCTAGGGCTATTGCTCTCGACATATCTAAAGCTTTCGACAAAGTTTGGCATGCTGGTCTTCTCCATAAGCTTGCTTCATATGGTGTTTCTGGGAAAGTTTTTGAGATTATCAAATCATTTTTTTCTAACCGGTTTATTAAAGTCATCCTTGAAGGCCAACACTCTTCTTTATTTCCAGTAACTTCTGGGGTTCCCCAAGGTTCCATCCTGGGCCCTGTTTTGTTTCTTATCTACATAAACAATCTTCCTGACAACCTTTCATCTAAAGTAGCTCTTTTTGCTGATGACTCAACTTTATACTCCTGTCTTGACAAAAAGTCTTCTCTATTCGATCGCCTTGAACAAGCAGCTGATCTTGAATCTGATCTCACTTCAGTAATAGATTGGGGTTCACAGTGGCTTGTGAATTTCAACTCTAAAAAAACCCAATTGCTTACTGCAAACAACTACCGTAATATGGTCAACATTCCTATATTAATGAATGGCGATCCTCTTACTGAGTCCTCCTCTTTACGTCTTCTTGGATTATCGCTTACTACTGACCTTTCATGGAAACCATATATACAATCGATTGCTAAATTAGCTTCTGCTAAGGTTGCTTCTCTTTATCGTGCTCGCCATTTCCTTACTTCTGATTCCATTCTCTACCTCTACAAATCTCTTATTCGTCCCTGTATGGAATACTGTTGTCATATTTGGGCTGGTTCTTCTAACGATTCACTTTCTCTTCTTGACAAGGTCCAAAAACGCATTGTAAATGTTGTTGGACCTGGACTATCTGCTAAGCTTGAACCTCTTTCCTATCGTCGTAAAGTTGCATCTCTTTCTCTTTTCTACAGATACTATCATGGTCACTGCTCAAAGGAGTTATCATCTCTAGTTCCATCAACTAAAATTCATTCTCGTTTTACTCGTCATTCAGCTAAGTCTCATTTGTTTACTGTATCTGTCCCTGCATGCTCTAAAAACTTTTATTCATCTAGTTTTTTTTCCCGCACTTCAATCCTTTGGAACTCTCTCCCATCTTCATGTTTTCCTGACTCATGCAACCTTCAACTTTTCAAGTCTTCTGTCAACCGTTTCCTTGCTCTATAACTCTTTTCTTTTTTTTTCCTACTAACTCCCACCTTAATAGTGGTTGCTTGCAGCCTTGTTGGGAGTGAATGCAAATTAAAAAAAAAAAAAAAAAAAACTACCACCCTAAAAAATATATATATAAATAAATAAAATATAGGTAAATTTTTTTTTTAATAATATACATTAATTTTTTAATTTTAAAGCACAAACAGATTTCTGTTATTTACTTTAAGATTGCTTGCATTTTTGCGGTATTTTCGTTTAGCTTTGTTTTGGCGCAAATTTTTGAAACGCATAATAACAAAACGTGGTCAGTTAGTCAGAAAAATTTATTTTATGCGTGGACAAACAAGGCGTGCGACCACACGCCTTTCCTGAAAAACCCTGATATATATATATATATATATATATATATATATATATATATATATATATATATATATATATATATATATATATATATATATATATATATACACACACACACACACATAAACTATATTTCATTTTTTTCTTTTCCCTTTGTCTTCTTTTAAAAGATAATACAGCATCTTTGCGCTTTCCATTAATCTTAAAATATTTTATTCGTTGTTTAAAAAAATATTTATTACTGTCTGGTTAACGAGAGAAAGCCCCCACTTTTAAATGATCCTCAAAAATAAAGCTGTTGTTCAAGTTATATTCATATAAAATATATTCTCTAACTTTTCTGATGTCAAGAATTTCTATTGTAAGTAAACTTTTTTTACTGCATCAAGCATAGCAAAGCAAATAATAACATAATTTGCAAGCAATTTTGAGAAAGTTAAGAGACCTCCTCTGGGTAGTGTTTCAATATATTCTGTATTCAAATCAATGAGATCACTTTTTAGCAATAAAGAACATAATTCACATTTAACTTTTTTGAGTAATTTTCTGCATATATATCCAGCCATAAAAATAGCAACTTCTTTACTGTTATCATCTAAATCACATTCCTGAATATCATTAATAAAAAGTTCAGAAATCGAATTTATATTTACAACCGACTTGAAAGTTTTTAAATCCATTTTCCAAAAATCAAAATTTTCTTTTAATAATGATCTCATTTGCAAAAATTTTTCAGAAGTTATTACTTTACGTAATCCAACAAGAAATCTGTGACCACTCATTTGACTTTGAAAAATGTTGCTCCAATGGATTTGCTCCAATGGATTTGCTCCAATGGATTTGAAAAATGTTGCTCTAATTTTGGAATTAGATATTACCCACCATAAATTAACTAGTTTTAAAAATTCTGATGCTGAAAATTCATTAGGAAAATAACTTTGAATTGCTGCAAATGTTATTTCATGGAATATATTTAATGCTAGGTTGACGTCTTGTTTATTGTTACCTGGACATAATGTCTTTTCTCCTAGTTTTGATGCCTTTCTTAAGGTTGCTGATAGAGTTTCATCTTTTTCATGCGCTCTATGAAGCAATTCTAAAGATATATCACCTGCAGAGACTTTTATATTAAAAATGTAATCAGTGAACTGAAATGATGGGAAAATAAACTTTTTGGTAATAATCAAATTATTTCTTAAGTTTTTGAGCAAATGTACACTATCATACATCAAATAAATTATATGACCATTAAAAGTGATACAAAAATTTTCTTCTGGCTTCTCTGAACCATAAACGCTGAGTAATTTTGAATAAGCTGACACATTAGTTGGATGGTAATCCGCAATCAATGCACGAATGTTAAAACCAGCAGATCTTAATGTATTTAAACTTTCTTCTATTTCATCTTTAATAAAATCTCCAGTAAGACTAATTTCTGGGATAGCTTCAATAACATATGGTATTGATTTTTTAAGACCAATGATCATGAACACAATTATTCCTTTGTAAAGATTACCCTCAGTATCTTGACCAATTAATCTACCACTGTGGTATTAACAAGATTGCTATAAATACATTTCATCAAAAAGGAGAACACAATCGTTGCTTATTTTTCCTTCATTTAATAACAGTTTTAATGATTTTATTTAATCGATTCCACCAGAAACTAACTTCTTTAGTAGTGACATTATTTACACCAGAAACTAACTTCTTTAGTAGTGACATGGCAATGGGAGTTGTTTCAAAAGAAGGGAATAAGCCTGAAATAATGAATATCTTTGCATAAGTGCAAAACGTAATACTTGTGAAGAATATGGAGGACAACCTTTGGATTTGTAAAAAATTAAATTTAATAGTTCATTAACTAAACCATACAAATTTTCTTCAACAAGGTTGTGCATATACAACACCAAATTATTTAAAATCGATAAACTTATAAGCTTACAATTGTTAATTGTTCTAAACCATTTAGGGAGTGGTAGTGGAGAACTTTTGTAATGTAACTTTATGTGCAAATTGTTATCGATGCATATTGATTCAATAAATGGAGTTGTGTCTACAAAAAATAAACGATAATATAAAACAAAACTTTCATATCTTTGAAAACTAAATCCATTTGGAGAGTTAGGTTCATGAAGCATATCAATGTTTTTTATTTTATCCATTTCTTGAAATGTATGAATTTCATCTGGAATGGTAGAATGTTGGTCAGTTGGAGGTTTACGAAAAGTAGGAATTTTAGGTATTATAGAAGATGGAATAGAAATTTCATCAGAATAAATGGTTGGAACAGGGTTTAGCTCATATTTTAAGGTAACTCGTTTTCCATATTTTAAATACTTTTTTTCAAATTGGTCCAAACATATAACTGAATGTTTGCTTGGCTTCCATTCTTTTCTGTTAACAAATTTTATCCATTTTTTTTCTAAAACAGTATCTTTAGGAAAACTAAAAACAGCTTTACTTGCACTAATAGAACTAGATTCATTTTTTTTAAATTTATAGCCAGTTCGACAATTAAAAACAGCACATATGTTCACCATTATATCCAAAACTAAATTTCCAATTTAATCAATATCTCCCAAAATAAAGTTTAAACAATATTAACTGGCAGTATGAAAAATAACCGAAATGCTAAAAACTGGCCTTCTAATTTTCGGCCTATTTATGCAACATATCCGGCCGTGTATAAAGTAGGCCATGGGCACTAGTTGGTTGTCTAAATTAATCACTCTGTGGTAGCCAGGAATAATCACCTAGTGGTAAGTAGGAATTTTGTTGGTAATGATAATGAACAAGTGACTGGTGAATATATAATGTAGAAGCCTCACAAAAATTAACAGTTGTATGGAAAAATCTGAGATCACGAAACATGAAATTTCTCATAACTATCAAAGAAATTCCTGTTACCTCACCTTTTGCAAAAAAAAACATAGCTACCAATGTCACTTGCTGTCATCACTTTCTTATTTTCAAATTGATGACAAATGAGTTAACAATGATGACAAATAACTTGGCAATGATGACAAATAACTTGACAGTAATGACAAACTTATCAGTGACAGTAGCAATTTTAAAACAATAAAATTTAATTAGGCAGTTTTTAAACTTTCTTTTTTTCTTTTTGCTCTATATAATTTTAACATTTTATTTTATGTAATTTATTTTTAGATGTTCGGCATAGAAGCTTTTGACTTCATCCATTATTTTTTTCAAGCTCTTGACATACTGTTGAATACCAAAAATCTAAATTCCCAAATAAAGAAAAGTTACATTCAAATAGTTAAAGATTTAGAACAATTTTCACAAAATATAAATGATAAAAAACTCATCAGTGTAATAAATGTCCGATGTGCACGATTTATTGTGTTGTTGGAAAAAAATAAGTATGAAGGCAGTTAAAACTTTTAGTTAATATTGTGAACAAATGGAAATATTGATATAATTTGTATTCTTAATGATAATGACATTATCATTGTTAATTGTTTTTATAGAAAAGTTACTGTAAATTTATTTTTATTTATTTTTTATAGTATGTAGTTGTTATTTTTATTATAATTTTTTGCTTTAATAAATAACTTCTATTACTGGATTTTTTTATTATTAGTTTCGATAACGATTGTTTGATTTGCTTGGAAATTATAATTTTTTTTTTACAATTATATGCAGTTTTCATGATTATCAATTGAGTATAATGGATTAAGTTTTAATACTTTTGATAATTTACATTAGGTTTCAGTTTTTAGATTTGCTCATAATTAAACAGTGGTAGTTAAGCTTTATGTAAACTTTTGAGCTACCAACAAACCAAGCAGTGCATGAAAACTAACCATTTAAAAGAAACACTATTACCAATAAATCAATGTTTTATATTATTATTTAATTCATATTTATAGTTTATATATTTAGTTTATGTTAGATCAGTTTAGTGAGACATGTTTAAAGTCAAGTGAGGCAACATGTTTGTGTAGAATATAGTCAAGGCAACATATTTGTATGGAAAAAATGTTTGAGTTGTTAATAAACTTATTAATTGCTGTAATAATAGTTTATAATAAATAATATTTATAAAAAATATTACCATAAATGAATTAATAAAATGTTATTATAAATTAACAAAAAGTATTAAAATAAGTAAGTTTTAAAAACATCAGAAAATCTATTTTTTATAGTTTATTTAATATTAGTAATAATTAATTATATATATAAATATATATATACAGTACTGGACAAAAGTCTGAGACCAAGGGTTGAAAAAGACTAAAAACTGATTTTAACCATAAAATTTTATTCAATGAACAACCATGTCAATTTTTTCCAATATAATTCATATTAGTAATTCAACATAATTCAGAACACAACAATTTATTGTCAGCATCACTGATGATGTGAGGAAAACTGATGAGTAATACAATTGTCATATATGTAGTATGTTGCACGCATAACTTCTTTGAACTTTATATGAGCCATGCACTATATTATTCGGTTTTGCGTTGATATTTGCGTTAGTTTATTACTGCGTGATGGCAAATTATAGACTACGTAATAGTTTATAGCAGATAATAAACATGAAAGTGTCCTAGGATTGACGCATATTAGCGCTGTTGTGGTATTATGTTGTTATATACATGAATTACATACATACATACTGTATTGCATATTTATATAGTTATTGTTTAATGAATCTGGCATTTGCTGTTTGTGCTTCAAATTCTCATTTTTGATTTTAACATTAATTTTCTTTCACTGATATGTGTGAGTTACAAATATCAGTTCAAGCACAGATCAGTATTTTAAAAGAGGAGGGATACAACGAGAGAAGCATTGCTGAACAATTGTCTGTTTCTTAAACTGCAGTTCATAACACAATAACTTGATTGCAGCAGACTGGCAGCTTAACTTCCTGAAAAAGATCTGGTAGACCAAAATGTACCTCTATGCAGACTGACCGCTTGATTCATCGCACTTGTACTAATTCTCCAATGTCATCATCCACAGTAATACAACACAACTTGCCATCCTCTGTTACTGTTTCCTCCAGAACTATCAGACAAAGACTATCCTCTGATTTTAACCTGTATGCCCGGCGTCCTTCCATTAAACCTAGGCTTTCTGCCAAGAACATCAAGGATCGGATTGCCTTTTGTCAAAAGCACAAAGACTGGACAGCGTTGGATTGGGCGCAAGTAATGTTTTCAGATGAAAGTCAAATAAAGCAGTTTGCTCCTCTTCATTCTTTTGTTTATAGACCTGTTAATCAGCGACTAAATCCCAAGTACACCAAATGCAATGTTAAACAGTGCCAATCAATCATGGTCTGGGCTTCAATTTCAACCAGAGGACAAGCAGGTATTTGGTTCATGCCTCCTAAAACAACCATTAATGCCAATGAATATCGGAAAATTTTGAAGAGCAATTTGCTTCAGTGGCTGCCTCTTTCTGGTTGTACAATCTTCCAGCATGATGGTGCACCATGTCACCGGGCAAAGGTGATTACTAAATGGCTTGCTGAGAAAAATATTCAGGTACTTTCTCCTTGGCCGGGATCCTCGCCTGACTTAAATCCAATAGAGAATTGCTTGCATCTATTAAAGAAAAAGGTAGCTGCTTTAAAGCCATCATCATATGATGATTTGAAAAAAAAGATAATGTTGGTTTGGTCCAATGAAATCACTCCTGCTTATTGTGAAAATTTGATCAATTCTATGCCCAGGAGAATTACTGCTGTGCTAGCGGCTAAAGAAATGCCCATAAAATACTTACATGACATGGACATTTTGTGTTTTATTTCACAAAGTATGTTGTACTTTTTATTTTTATTTTACTTCACCTCCTCAAGGCCAAGAAGGCCACTACAGACGAGGAGGCTACTTATTTTGTGGCTATAACCCTCTCTCAACTCTATAACTCTGAAACACGAACCTTGACGAACAAGGCCGCTGCGTGGAGAAACGAGTTGAGCGCGGTACTACCAGGGACGTGGTGGGGGTCGAACTTATTCCTAGTAATATGAATTATATTGGAAAAAACTGACATGGTTGTTCATTGAATAAAATTTTATGGTTAAAATCAGTTTTTAGTCTTTTTCAACTCTTGGTCTCAGACTTTTGTCCATATATATATATATATATATATATATATATATATATATATATATATATATATATATATATATATATATATATATATATATATATATATATATATATATATATATATATATATATTTTGTCCATATATATATATATATATATATATATATATATATATATATATATATATATATATATATATATAGTCTTGCATGGTAGTCAGAAAGTTTTTCCCATAAACTGTAGTTTTAAAGAGAGCGTTAATAAACCAGACCAGAAAAAGTTTTAAAACTTGAATAATTTTTTTTTTCTTAAATGATACACTGCCTGCTCAAACCAAACCCTCAGTCGATGTAGCAGCACTCCCTTGCGAGTCAGGCTATTTGCACAGTCAATGTAGCAGCACTCCCTTGCAAGTCAGTCTATTTGTAAGTCGATGTAGCAGCACTCCGTTGCTTAAAGATAGTTAATGTAGCAACACTCCCTTGTAGCAGCAGACTATAAGATAGTCGATCTAGCAACACTCCGCACATGTTTTAAAAATATATTTTAAGCAAAACACCATTAATAAAAAAAAACTTTCAAGTCATTATTATTGCGGGTTTTTTAACGTATTTATACATATATATTATTGGATACTGTCACAGCAATTTCAATGTTATGGTATGTTGTTAAGGTATTCTTTTAAAAAATATTCCCTTTATTGTTTAAATATCATTTATATTCCTTCCATTTGAATATTGCATTGGGATATGTCATACTAAAAGGTTTTTTTTGTTTATTTTTTGGATAAAAATCCAGTGTATGTAAAACAGTTTATGTAAAACTGCTGCATATATTTCTAATTTAAAGCTGGAAGAAGAAAAGCTTTGAAAAATTTAATTTAAGTTACTAGGAAGTATTAAGTTGCATTTCTATGGTGAAATTTTCTTGGCTTAACTTCAACATTACGTACAGTATTACGAAAAGTGAATCAAAGTTTTCTGAACATATAAGTTTTTAGAAACAGATTTTCTTGTGTCAGAGTTACCTAGGTTAAGAAATTTTCCCAGATTTGGTTTTTCAAATCAAATCTAAAAACAGGCATGTATCGATAGTTCAATCAAATGTAATTTAAATATTTACTTGACGACTAAATTTAAATAAATTAAATAGTGTATATATATATATATATATATATATATATATATATATATATATATATATATATATATATATATATATATATATATATATATATATATATTAAATTGCTAGTTTAGATGAGCACTAAGGGTTTGAGATAGGGCAGCATCTTTTTTTTCATTATTTATCATTTTTTTCTTCTTTTTCTGAAAATGCTGTATACTATAAAAATAAGCAAAACTAATGAGCAAATGCTTATCTAAATACGCTATAGAAGATGGAGTCACACCAATGTTTTATTTGTGTATCTTATAGATATACACATATACACAATTAAATAGTAATAGTATAATATATACCTATATAGAGCATTATATGAGTTTGGTTTTATTTATATTAGTTTATACATCTATTATATTATTTATTATATTAGTTTATTGTATTAGTTTATACTTTGAGAAAGAGCTACAACCCCCATCAAATTTGCGTGTTTTTTTGTTTATGATTTTTATGTAAAAAAGTTAGTTTTGTAATAACTAATGTAGTTTATCTTTTTTCACCTTTTAGATGTAAAAGTTCTTAAATTTTTTGTTAAAAACACAGCAGCCAATCAAATGTCATCCAATCAAGTAATTGAAAAAGTTAAACCGTACTCTGTTGTTGATTTGGCAACAAACTACATTCTAAGTGATGAAGAAGTTAAAAGTTGCCTGAAAACAGCAACAAATAAACAGCTCTGTAAAGAAGAATATTATGAACAATCTTATGCAAAGTACAATGGTGATGCTCCAAATTTTATCAGTTTACCTCCTAAGGTAAAGGTTGTATTAGCTAAACATCTTACTAGAGGTTTATCATTAGCTTATCTGCTGTATTTAATCATATATGAGTTCTTTATAACAAATTTAACCTATTTGCATTTTTAAGCAAAAAAAAAAAGATATTTAAGTATCTCTATAATTTATTAGTGATTTTGTGACTAAAAAACTTTAAGTTTTTTAAGTTCACAAATTTTTTATGACTAAGTTTCTGAAAAGTTTTATGAATTATTTTTTTATGATGGTCTTAATGATTTTAGTTAAATTTGAATTGAGAAAAAAATTAAAGAAAGTTTTGTGTTTTGGTGGATAATGACTTGATAATTAATAAGATGCTTATTTCATTTGTAATCTTAATTAATTTGTAATATATAATTTTTTTTTTTGCAGTACATTAATGTTACAACTTGCAATATCATTATTGATAAATATCATTATTGCATGTTGTAACATTAATGTACTGCAAAATGATAATTGCAAATTGTGATCTATAATTTCCTAAAAATTAGTTATTGGATAAAAAATCTTGGAACAAAAAAATTTTTTTTGAAATGAAAATAAAAACATTGAAGCCCTAATTTATTTTATGCATAAATGTAATTTGTTTCCTCCACAAATCATTGTTAAATACACATATTTGGAGTTTGAAATGTTGACACTATTGATAACATGATATTGATGACATAGTGATACATATTTAACTGACACTCTTTGTACTAGCCTTTCTGAAAATGCAAGTGAAATACTTCAAATTAGAATTTGTTTTTTTCTATAAGTAAATTTTTAGATGAGTAAAAGGAAGTAATGAGAGAAAGTCAAGGATTCAATAGCAACCAAACTTAACTGAAGAATTCAAGTGTCTTTTGTTTCACTCGAATGTGTTTTGTTAAACATTAATAGTCTCCTAGAAAAAAAAGTAAAGGTAAAAAATCTCTGACTTTTGACTCACTACGTCCAACATATCTAAAACACCATCAAAAAGTAGTGCATGCTATTTTATAAAAGTATAAACAAAATGTCTACAAAAAAAAGGGAATTATAGTAAAAAAATTTTTGCAGAGCAATAGTATTCAAAACACTTTTTAGTGAAGTGAATAAACTGGTGGTAAGAGAGAATGCAAAATGTACTATAAATTTTATGTTTGTTTTTTAAGAAAATTTCAGTTGCTTGAATACAACATTTGTATTTCTTATGTTTTCTTATTATTGTGTTTAATAATAAAGGTGTGTTATTTAAGAGATTATTTAAGGCAGATTATTTAAAAAGCATTTGTAATGGAAAAATGAGTCAAAAAGAATGAGTCCAAAAACAACGCCACAACATTTAAGGAGTGGACTGGCAAAACCAGATAATTAACTTTTTTTTTAAAAAAAAAGACTTAGCAATGTTTTTTTTGTAGTATTAATATTACTTCATCTTTACAAATAAAAAATTAAATTTAAAAGCAACTATTTTAATAACATTTTACCTGCCTTAAATTATTTTGTCCATGCAAAACTAGATAAAAAAAAATTCTTGTTGATGCAGAACAAGACAAAAAAATTATTGTCCATGCAAAATTTTATTTAATCAACATTCTGTTTTAAAAATATTTTATAAAATATGAGGACGTTATTTAAGAAAAAAACCATATACAAAAAATTTCACTAAAATCACAAAAGCCATATATAAACAGTTACAATTGAGTTTTAATTTCATCAATCCTATAAAAGTATCGAACATTAAAATAACTTATTCTTTAAGGCAGAGGGGCGTTTTGCACAATTATATTGCTTTTTAAAATTGTCACTAGTCAAGTTGACTTTATAAAGCTTTTTTGAAAACCAGTTAGAAATAAATTTGCGATCAAAACCAGATAAAAAGAAATAATTGGCATGCAAAACCAGATAAAAAGAAATAATTGGCATGCAAAACCAGATAAAAAGAAATAATTGGCATGCAAAACCAGATAAAAAGAAATAATTGGCATGCAAAACCAGATAAAACGTTTTTTTCATTTTGTAATAAAAATAAGATCAAAAGAGCGAGATTTTCAAATTTTTGTTTTAAACATTCTTTTAATGATATCTATTGTTTAACTTTTAATGATATCTATTGTTTAACTTTTAATGATATCTATTGTTTAACTTTTAATGATATCTATTGTTTAACTTTTAATGATATCTATTGTTTAACTTTTAATTTTTTAATTCTTAGCTATTCGATTTACTGGAAAACATTTTTTGCCATGATTTCAGAATGAAAAAAAGTGAATTATCTGGTTTTGCATGTCCACTCTTCATTTGTAATTTGATCGTAAAAATAGCTAAAGAATTAAAACAGCTAAAAGTTGAAAATAGCTATAGTCTAGTCAAATTAGGGTCAGACCTGGATAAAATTTGGATAAAGATGAATTTGGTATCATTTGAAGAGTAATCTTATCTACTTTAACATATCCAAAATCCTCCAAAATCTATTTTGGGCAAAAAAAGTTTAAAAAAAATTTTAGTACACCTCACTTTGTGGAAAATTTCTGCAAAAGGACAAAAAAAACTAGAGACCCTGCTGTTAATAAGTTGTAATAACTCATTATAAAAATGCTTTATCTTTATGAAATTTTGCACAAACATAGCTTAATGTGTACAAATTATAGAAAATAAAATGATTTTGAAAATATAGTTTTTAAAATGCTGATGTCAACAGTTTTTGTGCGATTTGGGTAAAATTTCACACATTTGACCAAAAAATTAATTAATAGATAGTTAAATTTGAGCCTCAAGTAAAACTAACTTGTTTATTAGTTATCTAAAATAAAAAATAAGTTTTTAGAATATATTTTTTCATGTGAATCCACTAAATATACATTTAACTAATTTAAATAATTTTTTATGTAAGGTTAAATATTAGTGCTTTTTACATTCGACTAATATAATCAGAAATAAAATTAAAAGTCAAATATTTTTTTTAAAATGTTTCTTTATCTTTGCAACTTTCAGATTCATTTTCGCTGTCATCGATATTGATATTGTCATTTTTCATTGCATATGTGCATTCAAAGCCACTGTCCGCAGGCAGTCATGAATTTTATTCCATGACGTTGAGATTGGCATTGTTTTCCACGTGGTTTTTTGTATCTGTGCTGCATTACATCTTATGATGTTAAGAATATGAATTGGTGCAGGATCCTGTATAAAAAAATACTTAAGCCCAAAAATTAATGAAAAACTTTTTTGGTTACACTTATGATGTTTATTGAAAAATGTGTGTTTTTAAAAAATTTTCTTTTCTGTTTTGAGAGTAAAATTGCTGTCTAGGTACCTTGTCTGTCTTTATAGGTACTAAGACATTCTTTTCCATTTTTCATCCCCATTTCGTTTCATCCATATTGACACCTAACCATTGCTGAATTTGTAAATATACTCGAAAAGAATGGTACTTGATTGCACTTTTGGTTGGTGGTAGTCATTCTGGTTGAATTCCTTTTTTGAAATATGCCACCATTCTCACGTATTTTTGTTTCCTTAGTTGTGCCAGCTGGACTTGTTTATTTTTTTCACCTATAAAAATAGTTATGACATAATAATAATTATAATAACAATATTAATGATAAAATTAATATTGTTTTTAATGCGTAACAATATTAATAATAAAATTAATATTGTTACACAAAACAATTCAGAATAGCAATTTGCGATTGCAAAACAAGCAATTCCCTTTTGCGAACGGCACAAAAACTGATAACGAAAGTAATCCCTTGAGAGAATTCCGCACAAGGAATTCTTGCTTAAAAGCCAGTGCACTCAATTTAATTACAGTTGAAGTTTTGACGCGAAACTTCAACTGTTGATCATAAATTTAAAGAACTATGAGTAGTTTTTATAAAAAAAAAAGGTAAATATAACTATGATTAGTGTCTTGCATACCATACATATTTAAAACCACTTGCATTCTAATACTAGCTAATTGATCTTGTATTGAAAATGAATCTTGGAAGACTATATATATATTTTGAGTCACTGTTTGATTCAATAACTCACTGTTTGATTCAATAAACTTCAGTACAGCTATTTTCCCTTGACCAAAAGCGCAGAGGTAGTATCACATCGGCCCCAAGCATGAATAAACAACAAACAATTTTTCAAGTGATATGATCGACTTGATGCAATGTTCTTTATGCTGATTGTTTCCACATCTTTTTAGCAATATCAATTTCTTTCATAGCAATTGTTCTGTTAACTTCCCCTTTGCATTCCACTCCAATATGACCTTATTCTCAATTGTCTCAAACTGTCAATTAGCATGATTAGCCTTTGGAACAAAGTATTAGGGTCTACATGGACTGCATCGCCATTAACTTTGACAGCTGGTAGCAATGTGGCAAGTGTTTTAACCTGCTTTGAATGCCTAATGATTGCTTGGTTGGCTGCAATATTATTAAGACTGTTTTGAATTTCTAAACCGACTGTTTCTCCTTGAACACAGTTGATTTCATCATCTTTATCAGCACTTAGGTTAGTCAATATACATTGAAGTCTTGAGTCTTAAAATTCAAAAGAATTAAATAGCTCAAGATGTTCCTGTAATGCTTTAAGATCTTTAGTATCTCTTTTTCGACATGATTCACCAGATTCAAAATGTTGCTGGCTGCTCTCAAAACAATGCTTTGTAAGTGTTGACATTGATTCATAGATTGCTCCACATTCGTGCAAGGTACTAACCCAAATATTCCTTGTAGTCTTGAACATACCCCTTCCTCTAGTTAAACCTCATGCATTGTTTAATTACTAAATCAAGCAAAAGACCAGTCTAATAGCGATCCATGCATCTGATACAATGGTAATCTGATTTACAGTACTGTTCATAAAGTCACGGGTGTTCTGAATTAAGTGAATGCATATATTGAAGATATAACCGAACACTTTTGTCATAGTTTATATAACTTTCAGATGTTTTTGCCAGTTCCCAGTTTTCTCTGCTCTGATGAACATTTTGATAAATCTAAAGTATTCAAGATATTGCAACCATAGTTTTGCTGTTCTGGATGAACTTGAAAGCTGCATTTTTAAATTTTCAACAAGATTTGTGAACTTTATGATTATACAGCTATTGTTTATGTCTTCTAAACCCAAATGGATGATACATTTTTTCTAGAGAAGAAGTGTCAACTTCACCTTTAAGGACTTGTTTAAAAAGTTGACTCATCAAGGCAGATTTAACAAAGAAGTGAGCTATTAGTGGTTTAAAAAAAAGAAAAAAAAGAAAAAGTTTGTAATGACTGAATTCAATAATTGGCTTGAAGAGTATCTTTGTCAATGCAGCTGTGTCAGGAACGTTGTACCACAAAATTGGAATGCTATTTAGAGACTATTTTTGCTGCTTTTAAACTACATCTTATTCTTTTAATTCGACGTTAATTATCCAATATTTTAGAGTTTATCACCCCAGCAGTGATGATGCTCATCCCATGAAAAGTGTCTTTAGCATCCAATGTGCAGACATTATGATCAACATTGTTTGCCACCCACTGAGTAGATAATCCATCTAGCACTCCTTCAATATTGCTATCGTTGTTAGCCATAACAGAGTTTTTGAAACGTATTATTTCTGATGGACTTATGTAAAGTCCTAGTTTAAATAATTCATTTGTCAACCATTTCGATCTAAACTTGTGGTCTAGTTCTATTCCAAATTCAAAAAGTAAAGGCGGCATATAACAATGCGGTTGAATAGCTTTTGTTATAGTTTGACCGATAGAAAATTGTTTTAATTCATCTGATGTAGTTTGTTTCATAAAGAGGCAAAGCAATGGGCCCAAACTTTCTTCATGTTGCTCAAAGTCGTATTTAGATGGGTAATTCTCTGTGTTGAATTTAAGATTTAAAATTTCTGCCTTTATCAACTTAGCCGCAGTTTTAATGATAACTTCTTCGTTTGCAGCATTGCTCTCCGTCTTTTTTCAATAATAAATGTAGCTGCATCTTTAAAGCATTTTAAGTTGGGTTTTCCTTCAGCTTACCTTTGTACTTTTCTTCTAATTTTCACTTTATGAATTTTGTCTTCATTAAATAAATCTCTTCAGAATTTGAAAGCTCAGAAATTGCAAGCTCATTGCAATCCATTTTATTGTGCAATTCAGAAGTTGTCACAGGAACCATTTTACTCTCAAACCACCCACAAAGCCGTTCAAAGTTCTCCGCCATTGTTGAATTTTCTTTGCGACCAGACTTTTCTGTTTCACTCAAATTTGACCTGAAAATAGGTTAAGGTTTTCTTGAGAAGAATATGAAACATAAAATACACATTACATAAAGTTTAGTCAGAATTTGTTATGCATTACATTTTCTGTATCTGGTAATCGCTTATTAACAACAGCACAAAATATTAACACATTATTATTACAAAAGGAAAGAAATCAATTCAAATATATTTGAATTGAAACATACTCTCTGTTAGTTGAAAATAGCTTGTAACATTCAAATTGGTAGGGGACGGGGGAAGGGGCAAATCGATATAAAGCTAGTAAAACAGCTATTACACTACTTGTGCGAATAAAATTTGGTACGGGAAATAGCTTTTTAGTTCCCTAACGTCCGATGTAAAAAGATTTCCGCTCAATTCAAAGTTGATCAAGCTGGATAGCATTTTGTAAATCGAACAACTTTTGAAAAAAACTGACGTGTTTCGTAAGAGATTTTACAAAAAAGGTAAGTACATTTAACTCATCAATCCTTCCGTAAGTTTAAGAAAACATTGCTATATGATTTTGCATATATCATTTGTTTTTTTGTTGCTTCTGTTAAAATTTAACTCAAATTTAATGCAACGCTGTCTAAAGGGGCACGTTGATACAGACCACTTGGGGCAAATTATTACACTGTATCATCTTACCCCTTTGGTAGAGCATTTGAATATAGCCGAAAATATTTTTGTTTATGTATTTGCATTAATGCAATTAAATTGTTTGGTGTAGGCTAATTTTTTTTTTTCTTGCAGAGATAGTAAATAGGTAAATAGGCCTAATAAAATATATGTTTTTTGTCTTTTGTATTTGTTTACTTTATCTTTTGTGTTTGTTTACATGTTTACCTAATCTTTTGTGTTTCTTTACCTAATCTTTTGTGTTTGATTCCTTAATTAGTTTTTTAAAGCTTTATTTTCAAGTCTTATAAGATATATCAACTTGCCCCATGGTGTGTATCAACTTGCCCCAGCATGGGGCAGGTTGATACACAAATCTTTACCTTACTTTTTGTGTTGTATTTATTTTAATTATGTTCTAATCAATAAAATTGTGGTGCAGGATACTTAGTGGAACATATACAAGTTATTATTTCCACTCTAAATGTAATATTTAGCTTTTAATGTCAGAAAATGTAAAACGTGTATCAACATCCGCTCTCCCCTATATAGAATCACTTGCAACCAGGTCAACACAGCAATTTAAACAAGATTTTATATCAAGTGCTCATTTGTCTTTTCTTCCTTCGCAAACTTTTTCCATACTTTGTTTGAATTTTATTGTCCGCACTTGTATTACAGCTTTACAATCACAATGTTTAGGATCAGGTATTGCTAGGTTGCCGCAAATGAAGCAGCATTGCTTCCAGTTGAATGTGTCGCTTTAAATTATAAATAAATTTTGTCTAACTTGACCATTGTTTCGCTTACTAAAAGCAGTTAAAAGAATATAAAAGAACAGAATAACTGTTTTTCAGCAAAAAAAAATCATTCGCCTACATACATAAATATAATTGAGTGTATGATACAAGCATAAGATTAAGTAAGAAAATAACTTACATCTTTTAGTTTTAGAGCTTTTCGTTTGATATTTTAACACTTTTCTTTTTGGGTTTGTATAATCACACCTGCATGCCACATGTACTGTCACCATTTTCCTTTCCTTCAAGAATTTTATTGCTGCGCAATGAAATACTTTCCTCTTCTTCAAGGATTTTATTGCTGCGCACATTTAAATAACGAATTAAGGTATTGTTACCTTTCTTTCCCACATCACCTGATCAGCAGGTTCACATTCTTTGCAAAGCAAAAAAGTTTCTTTAAATGTGTTCAACATTTTATATTTTTATTTAAACTTTTTTTTTTAAATTTATTAAAATATTTAAACTTAAAAAATCATTTAAAAATAATAATTCACTATATCAACTTTCTACATTCTACAAAGTGCACAAAATTTATTTGAAAAAAAAAATTTGGCGCATTTTGTGCATGCTATTGTTTTAAAGTAAAGAAGTGCTGATGTTGGCATTTTTCAAAGTTATTAATATTTTTTCATTTTTTTAATTTGTACACATCAAACTAAATTTGTCCAAAATTTTATAGGAATCACATCATTTTTAAGCAAGTTATTACAACTTTTTTGCAGTAGACCCTTCAAATTTTTGTTGATTTTCTTGAAAATTTTCTACTAAGTGAGGTCAACAAAAATATTCATAAAATACACATTACATAAAGTTTAGTCAGAATTTGTTATGCATTACATTTTCTGTATCTGGTAATCGCTTATTAACAACAGCACAAAATATTAACACATTATTATTACAAAAGGAAAGAAATCAATTCAAATATATTTGAATTGAAACATACTCTCTGTTAGTTGAAAATAGCTTGTAACATTCAAATTGGTAGGGGACGGGGGAAGGGGCAAATCGATATAAAGCTAGTAAAACAGCTATTACACTACTTGTGCGAATAAAATTTGGTACGGGAAATACCAAATTTTTTACTTTTTACAAAAAAAGTAAAAAATTAAAAAAAACTATTTTGTGTAAAAAAAGTTACAAATTTGGAAATACCAAATTTGTAACTTTTTTTACACAAAATAGTTTTTGGTGGATTTTGGATATGTTAAAGTAGATAAATACGCTTTGAATGATCCTAAATTAATCTTTATCCAAATTTTGCCCAGATTAGCCCATTTTTAGACCTAATTTGACTAGACTACTAAGTTAAATGCTGAAAATAAAAAAAAAATGATTTTACGAAAATAAAAACATTAAAAAAAAATTGGAATTGAATTCACTTTTAAGATTGAAGCGTGTTAGTAAAAGAGATCATGCTGTTTATGTAAAAGGCCATATATTACGTACACAAAAATCTGCAGGTTTGGATTTCCCATTCCCCATGCTGCAACTTGTACATTATACCCCCCCCCCCTTCCCATAATTCCATTCACGCATGCGAAGGTGATCAATTTTTTCTTTTTTCACTGTTACCTCAATTTTTTGCGTTTGCGTACATATATTTTTTGGACCACAACTGCTTTCCCACTCTTAGCAAAAATAGGCGATAACTGTCTCGTCCGAGAAAACCGCAACATTCCTGTGAATGATTATGACCATGGGATTCCAAAAATGTAAACATTCAAATCATCTGCCTACGTCCGTGAAAGAAAATCAATTTTGAAATTTTCGCTTATTACACATTTATGTGAAATGACAGCGTTTCTATTTTTTGCATTTTTACAGCTTTTATTAAATGTAAAAAACTTCTAACAAAGGTAAAATATAGATTTTTGCAATATAATTTTTTTAAATTTAAATTGACAAATTTCAGGCAAGGGCACTTTTTCAAAGAAACTAAATCTGCAAAGGTTGCATTTTAGAGTCTCTTAAGAAAAAAACGAAAAAATGCCCAATTCAGCTAGGAATCATGATGAAAACAGGAAAGTTGTTTGCCTCCTGTGTCTCAAAAAGGCAAACAGACAGTTCACAACGTTTTTGCATGAAAAAATTCAACAAGTCTACAGACAACAAATCAATTTTGAAGATGTAAGAGTAACGCAAGGGCTGTGTGAAACTTGTAGAACTGCTCTGAGGAAACGTTATGAAGGACATCCTGGTGAATTACCAGCTCTTTTTGACTTTGAAACTATCATTGTCAAACCACTCGCAAGAGGAAATCCTTGTGAATGCTTGATTTGTCGCATTGGCCGGTTGAAATTGACTAAAAAGCACCCTCTTGACACTGACACGAAAGAAGAAAAGATTTCTGACAAAAGGTGCTCAAAATGTCTGTCACTAATTGGTAGGGATTGCCACATCAATGCTCTGTATCACAGTTTAGAGAGAATATAAGATCTCTGGCAGCCAATGATGGTAAAGTTGTGGAACAGATTGCATCTTCATCAATCACAAGCAAGGATGCATCTCCACATGAAAAAGTTCGACTTTCACAAACCAAGGGTGGGAGAGCATTGCCTATAACTCCAGGTAAACATATGGTTACATCATTTAAGTATTTTGGTAAAATATTTGCTGTAAAGTTAATTTTCATATGTTTTAGGACCATCAAGTGCAAAACAGCTATTCAAGGATCACCCAGTTGTAACAGCGCAAGATCTTGCTCAGGTTCAAATAAACACAGGGTTGTCCAATAATGGCATCAGAAAGCTTGCAACAACAATCAACAATGTAAGCAAAACCAACGTCTTGGAGCCATACATTGTTAAAAAATTTCAAAACCTTGGGAAAAATCTTGAAGCGAGCTTTACTCAGACCACAGCGGCATTTACAAACGCGGACAAAACAACTTCAAATTACATTGTTGCACATTGCAAGAGTCTCAATAGTCTTATTGAAGATTTACTTTTGACACGGAATTTTTTTTTCAAACCACGTCATTAAATTGGGGATCGACGGCAGTGGAGGATTCTTAAAAGTCTGTCTCGGAGTTTGCATCAAAGTTCATTTCACATGCATCACAAGCATCAAAGGATACAGGAGTGAAAAAACAACTTCTTGTGGCTGTGGCTGAAGGAGTTCAAGAAAATTACAACAATGTGAAAGTCATTCTTTCCCTTCTCGACATTCAAAAGGTCAATTTTATTATCTCTTGTGACATGAAAATGGCTAACATGCTGTGTGGTCTGCAGGCTCATTCATCCTCTCATTCATGTGCATGGTGCACAGCGGAAAGTTTTAATCTTGCGAATTGTGGTACTCCAAGAACTTTTGGCTCTCTGAAGCAGTCATTCCATGCGTTCTCTGCAGCAGGTTCAAATACCAAAAATGCAAAGAAATTTGGAAACGTCGTTCATGAGCCTGTTCTTTCACTCGAAGAATCTGCATTGGTAATTGATCTAATATCTCCAATGGAGTTGCATCTACTTCTTGGAGTGGTCAATCATCTTTTTAAGATTCTGAAAGATTCATGCCCAAAGGCAGATGAATGGCTTCAAGCATTGCATATACAACATCAACCCTTTCATGGTGGACAATTTGAAGGAAATTCCTGCAATAAGTTGCTGAAGAACTTGGATCTTTTGCAAACATTGGCTGAAAAAGACAATGCTTTTCAAGTTTTTCCCATCATTGAAACTTTTCGAAAATTTGCAAATGTTGTATCATCCTGTTTTGGCAACAAGTTGCACAGTCAGTTTGAAGAAAAAATTGATGAGTTTCGAGCTTCTTTCCTTGCATTGCCAATTGGAACTGTCACAACAAAAACACATGCTGTGTTTTTCCATATAAAGGAATTTATCCTGAGGAAAAAGATGCCACTTGGTATTTATAGCAAACAAACAACAGAAGCAATGCACCATTGCTTTAGTACAAATTGGGCAAGGTACAAACGCCCAATCAGTCATCCAGAATATGGAAAAAGGCTTGTGATGTGCCTTGTTGATTTTAACAGCAAAAATCTTTAAAGAAAACACTGAGCACAAAATAAATAGAATTGGAGATTTATGAATAAATTATGTTGACCTTACATTAGAAATCTTTATGTGAGAACAGAATGTACCTTTTTATCCCTTTAGAATAATGTTTTTTTATTTATTGTATGTATTTTTGTTTAAAGAATGCTGTAAAAATGCAAAAAATAGAAATGCTGTCGTTTTACATATATGTGTAATAAAGGAAAATTTCAAAATTGATTTTCTTTCACGGACGTAGGCAGATGATTTTAATTTTTACATTTTTGGAATCCCATGGTCATAAGCTTTCACAGAAATGTTGCGGTTTTCTAGGGTGCGGACTGGACAGTTATCTCCTATTTTTGCTAAGAGTGTTCCTCCCCCTATAATATACCTCCCCCCTTCTTCATATGCACTTGTACACAAGTTACTCAACTTGGTACACACACACCCTCCCCCTCAGTGCGTACGTAATATATGGATGGCCCCTAAAAAGAAAAATTTAAATGATGCAAACAACTTTTGCTGAAAAGGTAGCTTCTGTCAGTGTGTTAGAATTTTATTGACTATTCAAATTAGAATGAAAGAAAAAAATGTCAACGCTCAGTAATCCTTGTGAAAAAATTTAAATTTTACCATTCCAACTAAGAAATACCACAAAGAAATGTGACAAAGAAATTGCCAGAACATGTTAAAGAAAAAAATTTTAAATTTCATGAGCATGAGGTATTTAGCAGAACAGGGAAAAAAGATTTGTGTGCATTGGTGCTAGAAAAGTGCATATGAAAACTATTCTTGGTTATATAACAGAACTTTTTGCAGAGTAGAAGAAAAAAAAAATGGAATTAAAGTTGGATTTTCTAAATTCTGTGAGTTAGTCCAAAATGACGTTATACTGTTGGTTATTCAGGCATCCATTGTATTTATGATAAACTATTCACAAGAACTAAAATTAATGTTTGCAAGTAGCTGCAGTTACGGTTGACTATAAATGTCTGATGAGTTAGTCCGAAATGATGTTATACTGTTGGTTCTTCAGGCATCCATTGTATTTGTGTAAACTATTTACAAGAACTAAAGTTAATGTTTGCAAGTAACCCCAGTTACGGTTGACTATAAATGTCTGATTGAAAAAGTAGTTTACAATATTAAATCTAGAAAATGTATGTTTTATTATTGTGATAAATGTCCAGGGACTAAAATGGTAAGACTTATCTGATGAAACTATAACTTTTGGATGATTGATAAACACAGATCATAAAACTCTGGAATCTATGCAATTATCATCAGAAGTCTATTTATTCAATAATTAATTAGTTTCCTAAAGTGTCAGTTTTATTTATAAATGGAAATAAAGTTCATTATAATGCAAAAAAGTATTTTTTTTTTTTTTTTTTTTTTTTTTTTTTTTTTTTTTTTTTTTTTTTTTTTTTTGCCAAAGCAAAAAAAAAAAAATACTCATTTGCATTATAACACCTATTTTCAGTCATTAAAAAATTAACTGAATTTAAATGATTTGGTATTTTTGATGAATTTTATTTGATATTTATTCCTATGTTGTGCAAGATGCTGTTCAGAAGCTTTGATGGGAAAACATTTAAGCAAACTTGCATCTTTTTGTTGTTTATCACTGAATGACGTATTTCAATTAAATGTTATTGTGTTATCAAAATATAATCATGTTACAACTTCTGTTCACGTGTTTCCTGGTAACCTGATAACTAAACTCAAAATTTGTTTTTCGAACTTATTATTTTGTCGATGGGTCAGCTACACAATATAAAAACTTTTTTATGAAGTTAGAAATAAATTTTTATGAAGTTAGGTTACTATCATATTTATCATGGCATTAGTGCAGAGTGGTATTTCTTTGCAACTAGTCATGAAAAATCTTCCTCTGATGGAGTTGGAGGAACTGTGAAGCGTTTAGCAGAAAACCCAATCAATAATCAAATTTTAACGTCTTTAAATTTATATGATTTAGCAGAACACCCAATCAATAATCAAATTTTAACGTCTTTAAATTTATATGATTTTTGCAAGGAAAGTAAGGTGGGTATTACATTTATTTATGTTGCCAATTATGTTGAAGTGTATAAAAAGCAATCAAGAAAAATAATTTAGTACTGGAAACTCACAAAATTATACCAGTAAATAAAGATCAAGAAAAATAATTTAGTGCTGGAAACCAGTAAATAAAAATCAAGATTATAAAATTTGGAAAATAAATTATATCCCCTAGTTTTTATTCCAAATTTTAAAAAAGAAATACAATATTAAAAATTAAACAAAGATTTTCAGGCTCTCCCAGATAAAAACTGACATCACAATATCTGATCTTTAAGTTAAATACAAAATTGTAAAAGCTAAAAAATGTATAAATTGACCTAATTGTTTCGTTTTAGAATAAATCTTCCCATATGATTTTATGTTGTTTTTAGAAGTGTGAAATAAGCTTTTTTCAATAATTAAAATAAAAAAAAATCTGTTTTAGAAGGTTAAAATATATCTTTTTTTAAAAAACTTTTTTTTTTTTCACTTTTGGTATTTCACTTATGACGCCATATTCTTTTCAGAATAACTTATCATAGACATGAACAAATTGGTTTTAATTTTTGCTTCATATCATTATTTTGGTATCTAGAACCTTCAGATAAAATAAAAATATTGTAAATATTTTGCTTCGGGACATATGATCTTATGGCATATGATACTGATAAAATTTTATCAATATCATAATATCAATATCTAAGATGGTTGATAGTTTCTAGTAACTCCCAACTTAATAGTGATTGCTTGCAGCCTTGTTGGGAGTGAATCAGAATAAAAAGTATATATAAATATGCGTTATCATAAAACACACATTGTCACACATCATAAAATACACAATGTCACACATAAAATACATATACAAGCTTAATGTATAATACATGTTTGTGCATTAATGTAAAAGTCATATACATTAATAAGATGGTATATGAATGATATAATACAAACACAATCATATATCACATAAAATAAATGACATTTATAACATTTATTAACATATCATCAGAGGGGATTCTACGAATAAAATGAGGGAAGGGGGATGAATCCTCAAAAAATACCGACTGTCTTCTTAAAAAAAAAAGGTCCTCAAAACGAGTATTTAACCAAACTGGATTGTGTCAATACCCGACTAGCCAACTAAATTCGTGAAAAAACCGACTATAACTTGAAAATCACCTTTTTCAGGGAAGTGTAACACCCCCCCCCCCCACACACACATCCGTAAAATCGCCTCTGCATATCATGATAAGTATATTGTGTTTTATATATATATATATATATATATATATATATATATATATATATATATATATATATATATATATATATATATATATATATATATATATATATATATATATATATATATGCACACTTAGGTCGTTATAGAAGTTTGTTGAACTTCATCTATAAAGTTACAATAAGACAAGAAATAATTAAATATTTATATATCATCTTGAACTGTGTTTAATTATGAACGTTTTAAGTATTTGTTTAAATATTTTGAATGTTTATTTAAAACTTGTTTAAATTTTATTATATACGTTTGAAAGAAAAAATTTAAAAATGGAAAAACTTGAATATCAAGCATATATTAAAACCGTGCTCTATTTGGAGTTTCAGCACAAGCCATAACCGATGAATTGGTTTTAGTTCATGGTGACCAAGCTCCAAATATAGTGCAATTGCCAAATGGGCTACTTTATTCAAAGATGGTAGAGAGAGTCTTGAAGATGATCCTCGCTCAGGGCACTTTCAAACCACGTATACAACTGAGAATATTGAACGTGTGCAAGCTATTATTGAAGAAAATCCGCATGCAACACATGATATAATTGAAGCTCTGACATCGGTTGATCGTTTTACAATCATCAAAATCATTCACAACGCACTTTAAAAAAAAACTAACATCACGTTGGATATCCCACGAGTTAACCGATCAAAATCGAAACAATAGAGTTGAGGCATGTAAGAAATTTTAACCCTTTTTAGAAACAGCCCATGGAGGCTATGTGATATTGTTACAGGGAATGAGTCGTGGTTTTATTTGAGACAAGTTGGACACAAGTCAGCTAACGCTAATTGGGTCGGTGACGGTGAAAGTCCATAAACTATAGTAAGATGCGATAGGTTTTAGCCGAAAAGCATGTTCTGCATCTTCTTCAAAACAACAGGTGTTGTTTATTTAGGTTATGTTGAAAAGAGAGACACCATTACTAGCAAATATTAAATAAAAAATTGTTTGAAACCTCTTATATGTGAAATAAATAACCAAAGATCAAAAACAGGCACTCACAATTTCAATTTTTTCTATGATAATGCTGGACCCCATGTAACTCAAACCATCACAAATTGTCTAAACCAAGCTGGAATTACAATAATTTGCCACCCACCAAGCTCACCAGACTTAGCTTCATCCGATTATTGGCTATTCGATTTGATAAAAAAAAAAATCTTGATGACGATACTGACGTCGAACGCCAAAAAACACGCATAACGAAGCTACTTAAAAGTATACCCATAGAAGAGTATAAAAAAAAGTTTTACAAACGGCTTGAAAGGATGCAACTTTGTATAGATAATGATGGACATTATTTTGAACATTTAATAAACTAAAAATAAAAAAAATTCCTATTTTTTTTTATAGGGGAGTTCTACGAGCTTTCCTAACGACCTAAGTGTGTGTATATATATATATATATATATATATATATATATATATATATATATATATATATATATATATATATATATATATATATATATATATATATATATATATATATATATATATATATATATATATACTATATACTATATAAGTGATAACATATTGCTATATCTGAAAATATTTTTAAAGTCACTGTTTCAATGAAAGATTCAATTTATCATATTTAGAAAATTCATGAAAAAAATAACTAATAACAAAATCCAACAACTGGAAGATTTTCTCGACAAAAAAGAAGTTTTTACAAATTTTCTGGATGGATTCTGTTTCTTTCGTTTGAGAGATTATCTCCAGCTGCAGAAAACAGTCTTTCAACATCTGTAGAAGTTGGAGGTGGTGTGAGGTACTTTTTTGCCAATTTAGTCAACGCTAACTTGATTTTGGAATTGGCATTTTTTTAATAGTTTTTCCAAAACTCTAGGCATTGAGAAGCCATTGGACTATCCAAAAAATCATTCAACGCTTCTTTTATAGTTTTGGAAGATGAACGTGCATTTGGTCCTATTTGAGTTTGAGATTGCGCAATAATTTTTGACATTATATGATCAAACGATGCGTTTTTTTCATTGTCGCCAGATAGAATTTGAATTGCAGGAGCCAATTCATCTAGAGGTTTAAAATTGCCGTGTTTAGCATTTTTAAACCACCTTGAGATCTGAAAAAATACCATTTGTATATTGGATCAAGTAGAGTAGCAACTGAATAATGTTCTGATTTTTCAATTGCTGAAAAACGTTTTTTCATTGCATTTTTCATAGCAATTTTCCACTCCTGAACACTGATATCGCTAGAGGTTGTTTCCAAAGCTTTAACTATTGTTGTCACAATTTGAATACAGGAGCTGATGCAAGATTAAATACCTGACAACATTTTTGTTGCCTCCTCAAAAACACTTAAAATGTTCACCACTTTTTCATAGAGGCTCCAATCGTGGACAGAAAATTCAATTCCCACTGAAGAAAGTTTGATTAAGGTGGCAGCAATGGCTGGCTTCAGGTGTTTGCTCAAGCATATAATAGGTAGAGTTCCATCTTGTGGCAACATTGCTTATTAAGCCAAGTCTGACTTTTGTATCCATTCGGATTTCTTGCTGCCTGTAAAGTTCGGTGTAGAAAGCAGTAGAATGGGATGCGTAAGAACGAACGTAAGAAATGCGTAAGTAGAGTTTTCGACACTTTGCAATTAGTCCATCTATAATTGAATGTGAAAATAGTTCTTTTTTGATGACAAGTTGAAGGGAGTGGTTAAGGCATCCAGCTGACACATAATTACAGCTTGATTCATTAAAGGCTGCCTTTACATTTGCTGCATTGTCTTTTAAGAAAAATTCAATTTTTGAAGAAATTTCCCACTCCTCTGCTGTTGTTTCGATCTTGTTGAAAATGTTTTTTGCGGTATGCCTTTCATCAAATTGAGAACAAGAGATGCAGAATTTTACACGCTTCCAATATTTGGAAATAAAGTGAACCGTCATCCCCAGGTAGCCATGATGAAATGATAACCATGCATCAAGACAGACTGACACACTTTCAGCTTCTGATTGAACCAACTTTTCCTTGAGAGCAAATTTTATTTTTTTATAAGTTGGATCCAGTAAACCTCTGTAGTATTTTTCGCTAGCAATTTCGTAATTAGGAGCAACACGAGCATGGTGCCTCAAAAACCCAGCATCATTGACAATAGACCACGGTTAGAGGTCAAGAACCATTATTTTAAATATTGACTTGTGATCTTTTTGGCCTTTTTCAGAATTAGAGTCAATTTTTGAAGAAGTTTTAACCCAGTTTGGAATTATAGATTTTAACATGTCAATTCTTTGTTTTTTTGATCGTATATTGAAGATTGGAACTGTCTTTCTCTTATTTAATTTCAATTTAGCTTCTTCGTTGGCTTTTGGATTTCCTGAACATTCTGGCGTAAGTTTGATGTCAGGACGATGATTCTTCAGGTGTGACGTTAGTCCATATAATCCTTGTTTTTTGGGGTCGTCTGATCCTCTTGAAACTTTGCCGTTTCATATTTTGTAATGAACTAATCTTGGATTGTTTTCTTCAATTATGAAGTATTCCATGCTAAACTTGTTTTTATTTTTGAATTCATTTTGTTAGATGAAGACGGCTTATATAAGACGGCTTTTCAATGTTGATGGTTTGCGTCAAATAAAAATGTTAAAAATATAATTGACTGGTTTTTTGTATTTCCAATATTTATTGTAATGATTGCTACATGAAAATTCCCTCTGGACAATAATTAACAATATGCTCTCTTTGGACAAATATTAACGATTTCAACATTACAATTCCCTTGAGGAAATTACAGTGTTGAAATTGTTGTCCAATTGAAGTAGTATTGGACAATTTGACATTGTTTTCATTGGGGAAATTCTCAAATGCAATTAAAAACTGCTGCGCTAAACTTAAAAAAGAGTTGATTAAACAATAAATAATTAAACACCTTATAGATTATATGAAAATAGGTTAAAAGTTGGATTTTTTAAATTAATTGTAATATATATATATATATATATATATATATATATATATATATATATATATATATATATATATATATATATATATATATATATATATATATATATATATATATATATATACTCATAACAATAATTTTATCTTTGAAATAATAACAATACAAAACTTTACCAGGTATGAATATTAATTTAAACAAGAAAATTATTACGTTTTCAAACAAAGCAAAATCTTATATACGCTAATTCTCAAGCTTATCATTTAATTTTAAAAACTTTTTTTATTATTTTATCAAAATGATAATGCCTAATAAATCTTTAAAATAATTATTTTCGGTATCATTTTGAACCAAAATTTCGGCCGGAACCGAAATCTTAAATAATACCGGAACCGGTACAGAAACCGAAAAATCCGGTCAGAGTTGTGGCCGGAACCGAACCGAATTTCGGTCGATCACTACGAATAAGTCTTTAAATGTATAGAGATACAAGAGATTAAAAGTAATGTTAGAGAGTAAATGTGTATCCATACATGTGATAACCATCTGCCTCATTTGGTGTCTATAGCTGAGAAAAAGCTCCCAAAATGTGCAAAAAGCCGTAATTTGCTATTGCCATATATCTGCAATCTCAATCATCATATATAGAATCGTATCTTTAAGTGTATTTATCATTATCATTAATAAATAAATTGGGGCACAGTGAATAAATGAACACGGATGTGTTCATTTATTCACTGTGCCCCAGTACTGGGGCACAGTGAATCACGTATCACAACTCATTTTAAATCTTTCTGTGAGCCGTTAGATAATAAATATTTTGGTTCCATTGATTTCTTATTATGAAGAACATATATCTCAATCATTTCGTCTTAAAAAAAAAAAAATACATAAAATAAAGAGGGACCGAAATTTGGCTCTTAATAAGACCCGGCGATTATTAAGGCACTTTGCCCTATGTGCCAAAAAAATTTTTTTAGAAAAACTGCCATGATGTGCAAAAACACTTTTTGTAAAATTGTTCGGTGTGCTTATATACACAGGCTACATCTATTTATCTTCTTTTAGACACATCGTCTTATCTTCATTTCTTTTCTAACAAAGTATTTTTAAAAATAGCAAGAACACAAACACTAATTTCTAATATATTCACACTTCTATTCTTTTGTGGACAACATATATATTTATAAAACATACTTTATGGAGACATATTTAAAAACTTTATGGATACATTTTTTTTATCACTGTAAGCATCGTTGTCATAAGAGCAGTGCCGGATCAAGGAGGGGGGGGGGCATTTTTAGGCTCTGGCCCATAAAAAGGCCTCCAAAAACAAAAATAGTCCTGGGCCCCAAGAAGTCCTAATCCGCCACTGCATTAGAGTTGCAAGTTTGAAATGATAATGATAATGATTTTATACGATAAACAACAAACTATTTTTTTGGGGTAAGTACTGCGATGCTAAATGTTTAGAAAATATCTTAATATCGATTTTGCTCCACAACTCTAGAAATAGACAATATAAAACATCGTATAGTTTAACACAAAACTGTTTTTTTTTTCTTTCAACGCATAAATAAAGACCATGTTTTGATTTTCAATACATCTATCCGTAAGTAATGTGTTTATACATTAAATCCCTGCACACGTATAGATAATTTATTTAAAGATTTTTATGAATATAAATGTCTTATTTATTTGTTTACAATTTCTGTTCGTGGTTTTTTACTACATCAATAGCGTTGGTTGCAATCCGAGGCTTTTTTTTAAACGATATTTTTAACTTTTAAAACAATGTTTAATAGTTTTCAGCTGTTTTTTGTTTAAAATAGATTTACATAGCATGTTAATTGTTTGAAAAAATAAGTTATAAAAATGAGTATTTCTCTTTGTAAGTTAACGACGAGTAAAAGTACCAACAATTTCTTTGCGTCTGGTGTTGAGATTTTTTCAGCTTACAATCATCCTAATGTAAGTTGTTCTACCGCTCCTCCGTTTATTGAAAATGGAATTTCACCTTTCGTTCGTGGATTACCTTTAAAAGAAACAAAACGTAAGATAAATTTCTTTGTTCTTGGTAATATTTGTTATAAAATATATTTTTATATTTATTTATACTTTTCTTTTGTTATATACATAGTTGTTATATACATCTACTGTTGTAACGTAGGAGAGCGCAGTGCCAAAGTTAATTTAAATTAAGATTTTATCGGTCTCTCCTACGTTAAAACACGCTTTTTATATGTATATAGTATTATTTTTGCTTTTATATCACATATCTTATAAAATATTAGGTATAATATTCATATTGTAGAAAATAATTTTTGTTATATCATATTATATTTCATATCTAACTTGAAACATCTGTTGTTATATTTACGTATATACGTAGACTGTCTCGTTGTCTATACCATTATTCGATGTCTATACGCAATTCTTTTTAAAGATTAAATAGGACGAGAAAAAGAACAATAAATACATTGTTTTGATTTGTATTTTTTTTATTATTATTATTATTTTTTTTTTGTATTCAGCCTGTCACGGATTTGATATTAAATAGGAAAATTTGAAAAAATCAAAAATACGCAACCAGTCACGGATTTGATATTAAAAACGAAAATTTAAAAATATCAAAAAAAAAAATGCAACCTGATACAGATTTGCCTTTAAGACATACAGGTTATTAAAGAAAACTGGAAAGTCAAATTTTTCAATTTCCTTCATTTTTTTTTATTTTTTTTTTAAATTTTTATATAGTATAAAATTTTACATATTAGTAGCATGTTTATAAAACTTTATCTTTATTTATTACTAGAATTATCTTCCCAATTTACCTTTTAGCTAAATTGGAAAAATAATACCTTTAGACCATTAACTAGTAATCGGCTTAAATGAGTTTATTTTAGTTTCTTATCTATCATTACTATAGCATAATTTAATAAAATAAAATAAAGAATTGAAACTTTTATTGGTTAAACGATATAAATGGTTTTACCACTTCTATATTTCACCATTCTGTTATTATACTTTCGTTCTGATCCAAATTTGAAGTTTAAAATATTTAATTTTTTTAAGGAGGTAATATTATGTTTATAATTTAAAAAAATAAAATAAAAAACTAGTTAATAATAGATGTAATGATAAATAATTTTCTTTTTTTTTAACGGCTAATATTTTATTTAAAACTGGTTATCAATTAATTCTTGCAAATCTTTTATACTGGAATGGTAGATGGTTACAAGAAATGTTTTACGGTAAACTCTTTCACTTTTGAAAACCGATTATCTCCTTCTCCCTCCTATTTAATTGTTTTACTTTAGACAGTTCGAAATAAAAAAAATTCAAATTCTATTAAACTCTTAAGGGGTGGTAAAAAAGTAAAAGTGCGCGCTCACATATTTAAAAATGCTTTACAATTTTTTTTATAAATTGCGGATTCGTCCGGTTTTTCTTGGTGTTGAAAAGTTTATTTAAAAATTCAGAAACTATTAAAGTTTTAATCAAAATACCGTAACCCTGTTCCTAGCTTATCAGGGTTAGCAGAAATAAAATAAAAAATGTAAAAAAGTAAAAGTGCGCGCTCACATATTTAAAAAGGCTTTACAATTTTTTTTATAAATTGCGGATTCGTCCGGTTTTTCTTGGTGTTGAAAAGTTTATTTAAAAATTCAGAAACTATTAAAGTTTTAATCAAAATACCGTAACCCTGTTCCTAGAGTATCAGGGTTAGCAGAAATAAAATAAAAAATTGAGTTTCAAAATCAAATATATGTGTGTAATATATTTAATCTTTTATATTTATATATATACACACACACACACACACACACACACACACACACACACACACACACACACACACGGGATCTAAAAAGAAAGTGCGTGCTTATATCAACAAGTGGGCGTACATACTATACAGACACTTAATTCTTCCAAGTTCTTATAAAAAACGTCATTGTTTACAACCTTTTATATTTATATATACTATTTTTAAATAATGATATGATCTAGTTGTTCAATTGAAATGAAAATATAAACTCGAAAAGCCAAAATTTGAAAATTGAAAAAAAAAAATGGTAGAAATTAAGCGTAGCGGAGAAGAGTTTAATTTTTTTATGAAGAAAAATTCCTTTTCAAATTTTTCAAATGCACACCAGAGACAGGATTTGGTAAATAATCTAAACCAAAAAACTAATTAATTATTTATTAGCATAGTTAAATTTGATTAACTAAAATATATATGTTAGCGTATATCACGTACGTGCATGCGTAATTACCTTAACTGGATTTTACTTCATATATGTATATATATATGTGTGTGCAGGGCCGGCGCGAGTAGATGTCACGTGGGGGGTGCCATCACAACTTTTGCCGACTTTTAAAAAAAAAAAAAAAGGTCCTCGTTTTTGAAAATTTGCCGAATGCAATGACGACATTTGCCGACTGACTATCTAAATATACCGACTATTCTATTGACAGGTTGACAGGGTCTACATTTGCCGATTAAATAGTCAAAAAGGCAAATATGCCTACTAAGGGTCAAATTTGCCGACTAAAAATCATTGATGGGGGGGGGGGGTTCACACCCCTATCCCGCCGGCCTTGTGTATATATATATATATATATATATATTTATATATATATATATATATATATATATATATATTATACTTTTTTTGCTTATCTTAATTAAACTATAACTAAAAAATTTAATGTTAATTTGAAATAAGAAAAATTTTATAAATATTAAATTTTTTTTTTAACCTTTTTTATCCGCGAAAAATGGATGTTCACTACTTAAGAAAATTTAAAAGTTTTTTGAGTGGGTAGAAAAAGTAGTAATCGACTAGTAATGGTCATGGAGAATTTTCCTAATCTAGCTAGATCTTCATCTTTCCTTCCATCAGTTAATAGTTCTCAAAATTAACTACTCTAATGAATTGATGCTACCATTTTAAAGATTAAAAAATTTACTACTGGTTTTTAAGCAGCATATGAAAGTAAAAAATATATTCCTAAAATAGTTTTGTGCTGTGAAATTTATTCATTCATATGATAACTGAATTTTGTGCGTTACATACTGTTAATACTTTTTGCTAACGGCTAGATACATGTAAAGTTCGGTGTTTTTTTTAGTGAGTTAACGATAAATGCTGTGTTAAACGTTTTATTTCGAGGTTTTAATAATCTACGTTTAATATTCTCCGTCGTTTCTTTTAAAAAGATAATGAGACATCTGTTTTGTTGTTTTGTTTTTATTTGTAAAACAAATAATTCAAAGACTTGAAAGAAGTTCATACTTATTTAAGAACTCTTATGCAAAAAATAAATTGAAATTATAAAACGTCTTTTTAATATTTTTCGTAAACAAAAAAAGAATTGTTGTTTGTTTCTTAATAATAATTTTTTCCGTTGTTTATTTTTTTAATTTTTTTTATATGGAGCGAATTAATTCCAATATAAAATAAACATAATTATTATAAATTGCTGACATTTATAAAATTATTTATTTCAGTCAGACCAACATCTTCACATTCATCTCCGGATATTAAACATCAGTTGAATCAACAAAATATGCAAGGTACTCAATATTTTCTTTGTTATTTCATTTTAAATTTTTACATTTATATATATATATATATATATGTATATATATGTATATATATGTATATATATATATATATATATATATATATATATATATATATATATATATATATATATATATATATATATATATATATATATATATATATATATATATTGTTTTTATGTAACAACATCGGATCATGAATCACGAATTTATAATAAAAAATAATTGCTGTTTGCTTTGATTGTTTTAATTTTAAATTATTTAATTGTGTGCAACTAATCTGCAATCTGCGTGCAACTATTTTTAATATATTTTATTAATATTTTATTAGATATTAATGAATCTATGCATAATTTAGTTCCAAGAAATTACATCGGTGGTTTGCGACCACCAATGCAACTACGATCTCCAAGTGCACCAACGATTCGATTAAAACAGCCAGACCAATCTCTAGGAAAGAACAAAGCAACACTCCCACGCATGTATCCTCATAGTTCATATTCAACTACTGATAGCTTTCACTCAGGGTTAGCTGTTAACATGGAATTTTTAAACAAACCTGACCAGAGTAAAGAGGTTTCTAAACTTAATTCAGATAAATGTGAAAAATTGCAAAAAAATCAAGTGTTATTAGATTTAAAACAAGAAAAGAGTACACGCAAAGGTTTAACGCTTCAAACTGTTGAATCTAATACTTTACAATCAAATTTAGACATAGAAGCAGGTAAACAAACAAGATTGGACATGGAAATAGGTAAACGTTCGAAATCAGATATGGAAAGAGATAAAGAACATGAATTTCATGCTGAAAAAAATAAACATTTGGATAAACCGAAAATTTCAAAAATTCCATCAACTTTTTCAACTCCACGATCTATGTCTTCACTGTCAATTGATAGTGACAACATAGAAAAAATTCCGACAACATTTTCAACTCTTCGATCCATGTCATCTCTTTCTGCAAGCGACAACACAGAAAATCATAAATGTACCGAACTAGAGAAAAGAAACTTGTCTTTAGAATCCATTGAAAGACCAAAAATTGATACTAGTTCATTAGACAAAACACACATTCCTAACAAAACAATGGCTATATCTCAATTTGCATCTGTATCAAAACTTCGTAAAGCGTCAAATCCGAATAACCCAAATGTTTTCTCTAAACTCAATACTGTATCAAGTAGTAATATAATAACAAATTCTGCTCCAGGTACTGTTGTATCACATTCTTTGGCAGGTACTGTTGTATCACATTCTTTGGCAAGTAGTAAAATTATTAATACTATACCTAATTCTGTACCAAGTAGTAAAACCACTCATATATTGTCAAATTCAGTATCTTGTAGTAAAAATAATGTAATACCATGTTTCATAACAAGTAATAAAGATGTTATAACGAATTGTGTACCAAATATTAAAAATAATAATATAATACCAAACTCTGTATTAAGTAATAAAAACACTAATATAATTTTTGTACCAAATGGTAAAGATGTAAAACCAAGTTCTTTTCCGAATAATAAAAATACTGTTATACCAAATTATGTATCAAATAGCAAAAGTACTAATGTAATACCAAATTCTTTACAGAGCAGCAAAAATACTAATGTATCAAGTAGTAATGATTTTAAACCAATCTCTATACCAAGTATTAAAGATACTAATGTAATACCAAATTTTGTAAGTAGTGAAATAATGCAAAATACATCAAGTTTGGATGGAAGCACTGATTTAACTTTAACCATGAGAAATAAAGTTGTTGATACAAGTACTGGATCAAAGTCTAATTTGTCTATGAAAAATTCTAATTTAAAAATGGTAAATTCAATGAAAGAAGACTTTAAGACATCAAGTTTATCCGCTTTACCTAGCAATAATGTTATGAAAACTTCAAGCAATATATTATACAAGTATAGCGCAGTTAAACAAAATGTTTCATCTGAAAACGAGTCATCTGAAACAACTGGAATATTTTCTAAATGCTCAGAGGTTTTACAGTCAAATAAAAATGGTATTCCATCTTTAAAAAATCTATCTATTGCAGAGAATGAACAAAATGATATAAAACCTTTACTAAATGGATTAACAGGACCTAATCTTATAAATAAAGAAACATTAAAGCGAATTTCTTATAAAAAAAATAAACGCAGTCAATCTGATGTAAACAACCAATATCATCATAAAAAAAGTTTCGAGGAGCAAGATGAACAAGAACAGAAGACTTTACAAAATCCTACAATTGGAAAAATACCATCTGCGCTGGCTAGGAGTTTTAGTCCATTATCTTTTAACATGGTTGCTTTAAAAAGTACCGAAGAAAAAATTACCGAAGAAAAAAGTACTGATGATAAAAATTTTACTAATCAAAAAAATGATGTTCAAAAAAATATGTTTGAAGAAAGTGATATTGAAGAAGATAATTGTTCTTATAAAGATTTTGAAATAGAAGATATTCACATGATAGAGGAATGTAATGAATACATAAATGACTCAAAAATAGTAGAAAACTATGAAGACCTTACAAGTTTTATGAAGGAGTATGGTATAAGTATTGATAAAAAAGAATGTGATATTGATGTGGACAAAAAAGATGAGTATAATCTTCAGATGATGGATGATCCTTTTTCATTTTTGGAAGACACCAATCAAATGAAGCAGATTCCTTGTACTTCAGTGACCCCTGTCAATAAAAGAAGAACCTGTAGTAGTCCAAATTCAATAAATTGTAATATTTCTTCTACATTGCTTTTATCTAAAGAGGGGCATGCATCATTGAAAGAGGGGCATGCGTCATTGAAAGAAAACAAGGAAGCAAGTACTTTAGAAAAAAAGGTACTTCTGATGCTTTTTCTTTTAAATTTTTCTCATATAAATATAAAACAGTTTTTAAAAACTTGGAAACGTTTTTAACAGAATTTAAATTAAAAATAAGATGCTTAAGTTCCTATTAAAACTCAAATTACAAAACCTGATCTCTGATGCTCGAGCCTTAACCTCTTAGCAACGTTCCCGTTCCCGCAGCAAACAAAAGCAGATGTGCAAAATTTTTAACATGATCTATACTTATTTGAAATTTAGTATATTTTGTTGTTGTTGCGTAGAAAGTTGAGGGCTAATGCATTGTCCGGTTATTTGACGTTAATGTTTTTTTCTTTTTTCTTTGTGCGTTAAATCGGTTTAAAACGCTAAAACACAAGTACCCTTAAGATTGAGTGTATGTGACGCAAAAAAAATAATTTATTGTGAACCTTTTTCAAATTGACAACTTTCGTTTACAAGCCAAAAATACTCATTTGTTTAAAAGAGATGCAAAGATTTTATTGAACTCAATAGTTCAACTCATAGTTTTTTAAAAAGATAAGTTATTCAATAAATTTTCATAAAAATCTTATAGAATATTTTGTGATTTTAATTATAGTTAGATGCTGAGTTGCATCAGTTATTTTAAAAATTAAATTTTTCAAAAAAATTAGATGGGTACCTCCTAAATTGTTCAAAAAAGCTAGATGAGTACCTCCTAAATTGTTCAAAAAAGCTAGATGGGTACCTCCTAAATTGTTCAAAAAAGTTAGGTGGGTACCTCCTAAATTGACTAAAAAAGTTCTTTGAACTTCTTATACACTTTTGAAACGTAAAAATTCGTTTAGTTGGATTCTAAAAATGTCTCAAAAAACTCTAATATTGTTTAGGAAATTTCTATAACTTTTAATAGTTTCTGAAGAAATTATTTTCCTTAAACTTTTTGTTTAATAACTTCTATAGAAATTATTATAGTTTCTATAAAAGTTCTATTATTTATGCAGAAGTTTCAATATGAGCCGGTGAGAATCAGAATGGTGTAAGTCATCGTTTCCTAGAAAAGAAATAAAAAGAAAAAAACGCTGACGTTATACTTGAGGGGTAACGAGAAATATGGTTTTGATTAAAATTTTAACATAATTGTTTTTTAAGTAAGCTTTTTAATACAGCGAGAACACCACCCGTCGTCACTTTATGTTGAAAAGCTCTAAAAAGTTTTCGCTAGCTTTAAAGTAAAAAGTTTTTTTTCGAAAACACTCAAAGCTCAAACTGAGAAACTCGAGTTTTTAAAAGAGCGTTTTTGAAATGTTTTTTCTTTTTTATTCGAACCATAAAAAAATTTCAAATAATTTTTTATTTAGGTTATTTTGATTTAGCAGGTGCATTTTTTTATTGTCAAACAAGTTTATAAGCTTAAAAGCGTGATTTACTGCACAAAATTTGTTTCTTGTAGAGGACGCTAATATTTCCCGAAGTTTCATAAATATAATAATTTTTCTTTTCTTTCACATACTGTTTTAATCTCAGAATTAAACCATTTGGGATATTATTTTTTGAAGCTTAATGTAAAAGAATACTAAGGAAATAATTTTAGTTCAGGTAAACAAGTTTTATGGTGAGGAATAAACTTAAGTCTAGTTTTTAACAAATAGAGATTTTTTATAGGTCGACTATTTTTTAAAGCCTATTTACACTGAAAGTTTTTATTTTTATAGGTCGACCATTTTTATAACCTGCTTACAACGAAAGTTTTTATTTTTATCAGTTATAGTTAAGATTTTTTTGATTTTTATCAGTTATAGTTAAGATGTGATTGATAATGCGTTAATACCGTTGGTTGAATCTCTTTTCATTTACATTCTGCTAACTTTTAACTGACGTAATGTAGCGAGTGATCTTCATTGTCAAATCATTGTGTTTGTCGTTACGAGTGTTACTAGCTATTTGTTAACCGACTGATGTTCTTAAGAAAAAGTCGTTGTTTTTTGAAAAGTTTTGAAAAGGAAATTTAGCTTTTTTCTGGTTTTTTTGGGGTTCTACTATCAGCAGTGGGAGTAACACGATTTTTTTTTTTAACTGCAAATAGATCATATATCTCTGTAAATGTGAAATGAGTTAGTTGTCAGTGGTTTGGGTAAAGAAGACCCCGTAGTGAAAAAAAGTCAAAATGAAAATTTTTTTTTGTCTTCAGAAATAAATGAACTTATAGAATTATTGTTTTTTTATACAATATGATCTGTTCTGATCGTTTATTGCATTTTTCCATAATTATAAGCTCTTTCTTGGTCGGAATTCTAGTATTTTTGTGTGAAAACTAATAGAAATATTGTGTTTTGACAACTATATAGTTAATATATGTCAGACCGATTAGAATTAGGATCAGTAGTAAATTAAGGAATTTTTTCAAAAGATTTTAACTAAATTTATATTAAAGCCGATGAGCGGAATTGATCTAAATAGTGTTCTTTAGATTCACTATTACGGGTAGTAAAAACGTTTTGAAAACTATACAAAAAAAAGAAAAGAAAATATTAAAAAAACCTGAAGCAAAAAAAATTATATCATCTAAAGCTTTTGTTTGGACGTAATACACTGATAAAATCATGCTTATTCCAAATAAAAGTATTCGAATAATTTGTAAATTGCCTTAACTACACCGAGTCCTCATGGCCGAGAGGGCTACTACAGTCGAAGAGGCTTTTTTGTTGCGAATGTAAGTCTCTCTTAACTCTTTAACTCCGAAACACGAACCTTGACGAACAAGGTCGCTGCGCAAAGAAACAATTTGAGTTTTACTACTAGGGGCAGGGTGGGAATCAAACTCGGAATTAACCTTCAAAATCTATTATCGCTAAATAAAATGATAAAAACAGTACCAAAAAATGTTCATCTTTTTTTTAAAAAACCACTTTAAAAAGCAAAGTTTTGGATAAATTAAATATAATTTTTTTTTTATATACTAACGTGTAATATTATTATAATACTAAAGTGAATCGTTTGTTTTAATTCTATTAAATGAATTTATCAACAAAATGTTGATTCGAAAATTTTAATCATTGTGCAGTGCACAGTGGTCCAGAATTCACTTTTACTGAATAAAACTAATAATTTGTCATATAAAAAAGATTTAAGAACCTTTTTTGCACTGTTTACTAATTTGAGGATTGCGTTTTCAATGGTGACATTAGTTTTAATTATGGGTTGCTATGGATACCTAAATTGTTTAGCAACCACATATTTCATTAACTTTAATAAATATAAACTGGAAAATATAATAACTTTATTGGATTACTCCCGTAATTACCACATGAAGTATTTTTATACAACAAATGTAGTGGTACTATGGATTTTTGATTTGGTTGATAGTGACACCTGAAATGCCTGGCAATGGTTCATTTTGCATAGTTACTAGCTTATGTAACTTTTCTTAATGCATGAATGTTATAAACTAGACTAATATTAATGTGGCAGTCTGATAAAAAAACATTTTATGCATTTAAAAAATTTAACAATTTCCCAATTAGTAATTTTAATTTAGTGTCTTTATGCAGTTCCAGGGCTCTTTTTTATATTTCATGAAATTAACACATAATCCATATAAAAAGGAAGCTTAAACCTTTTTGTGCATAAAATATAAAAATTTTGATTTAAAATTATTTTTAGAATTAAAACTCATATTTTGATAATTGTAAAACTGATTAAGCTTCTTTTTCTTTTTTCATCTTGGCGAAAACTAAAACCTGATGCAAAGTTCTTGAGATGAATATGATGCTACTAATGGCGTCAATCTTCTTTTCTTTGTTTTACAACTTAAAGTATCAAAATTCCCCTGGGGCCTACTAGATTCTACAGTTAGATAAGAGCAGAGTTTTCTTTATCAATGGAAGCAATTAGTAGAATTTTCTTATTATCAATTACGAATCGAATTAATATTGGTTCATTTTGTAGTCATTTTTTGTTATTCTCTTCAAAACGAATTTTAGCGTTTTTGCATTTATACCATTGTCAAAGAGGCTTTATCAAATTAGACAGGTTATTATTTACTTTTAAGTTTATGCCATTTACGACTGCGTCCAAAATATTAAGCTAAGTTTCTTATTATTATATATGATATATATTATTATATAATAAATATCAATGTTTTTGATGTTTTAAACTATATTAAGATATGAATTTCATTTACAAAATCTTATAAATAAATATTTTAAGATGTATTAATATTAAAACAAGTTTGTAACACTAATCTAGTCTTAATTATTATGTAACTATTTAGAATCAAATACATATAATGTTTTCGCCACATAAAATCGGATACATCATTTAACTTGTAAAAATCATTATAATTGACCAAGCGGATATCCACGGATTATAAACCAAATTTATATTGATAATATACTGTATTTCAAATCTCAAATTACTGGACCGCTTCGGACCGCAAAAGTATTCGTCTGTATAAGTGAAATTTTAACTAAAAAGAAGTACTTCAAATTTGTCATTTAAAATCATTTTATTTGACATAACTTACGAACAAAATAGTGTTGCAATAGCTCATTTGAAAGATAATACTTGATTTTATTAAATTATGCAATAAAAAGAGAGGTTTTAAAATTAACATCTATTCCATGCTTATAAGTTATACAAAAAATATTATCAAATTAAAAAAAAAACTTTTTTTTTTTTTTAGAAAAAAAAAAAAAGCTTTTTATTCTACAGCTTAGAAGCATACGTCATTATAATTACGTCATTATAATTATACAAAAATATATACATATTTTAAAAGCAGAATGTTTAAGCTATAAAATAGTATATAAAAATGTAGTTTTTAATAATAATGTATTTTTTTTACTTTTGTCCACCACCTGGCCCACTGTGCAGCGACGTAAAAAACTCAAAAGCATTTAAAAATTTAGGCTTTATCAAACTTGTAGTAGAATTGCAAATTTCAAGTAGTTTTTAGCATTAGAAGTGTTAAATATTAGTTAAGTATTCGTTAGATGTTTGTTGTTATAGACGATGTTGTTGTTATAGTCAAT